CTTATTGTCTATGGCTGCTTTCATGCCACAAAGGCAGAGCTGAACAGCTGTGACAGAGACCATATGTGGTGCTCTCACTGCTTTGCACTGCTGCTCAACATACTACAAATCTCGGTGCAGTTTTAATCTGACAATATTTGAAGTGCCACACATATTGTCAGACAGACATTTTATTACTTTTTATTACTAATGCATATTAATACTGTAAAAAAAAAAGGTTTTAAGTGACCTTTTCGTGTTGCACTTTTAAGGCCCAGTGGAATGTGAATAATTTTGTTACACAATTACATGGCTAAGCATAGTGCCTATTATGCAATGATACTTTAGCTGTGCTAATAGAATAAAATTTACTTTGACATTAATAGGCTAAGCATTAATCATAATATCCCCAATTTACAGGAAAGCAAGTCAGAATCATAGGATAACTGAAAACAGGGTATCTCATCACCACAGAAATTATTCACACACAAAAAAATGAGAACAAGGGTGCAACCAAGTTAACTTTCCAAGTGGATTGTTAGCCAAGCAAAAAAAACTATTCACAAAGGCTGAGTTAAATTGTATTTGATTGCAACAACCAGGGTATCCAGAGAAACTTGTCTAAAACTACCAATTTTTTAGCAAGGATAGTTCCTTGATGACTTGAGAACACCAACACTCAACAAAAAAAAACAATGCAAAAGATATTAGAGTTTTCCTTAGATTTTGTTGAGTTTATATTACCAATACTGCCCAGTTGTTGTTTACTCGAGAAGTCCATGTGAGTAAAAAGTGACTCAAGAATTACCCTTTTTTGAATAGTCTCCATGGAATAACAAGAATGATTTTTTGAAAGAATCTGAGAAAAAAATAGTTTAGTAGAAACTGATACGGAATCTGCCAAGATGTGGTGTGACTGGTATAAATATGTGTAGAACAGGAAACGGTTTACAAATTGACGTCTGTGAAAATACATGATGTTTAAAGTTAATGACTATGCATATATCAGCAGGAATTCTGTATAAAATATTTGAATCTCTCAGTTATTGACTAGTAAAGTCAATAATGAATTTCATTCACTCTTGTGGTCCTAAACACAATTACTTACATCAAATGTTGTCAGAAATAGAAAGTGAATATCCTCACTTGCCCAACTATACTGGAGTTTAATATAGCAGTGAAGTTTCATTGCAATTTTTTAAGCTCAGGATCCAGTATAACATTTTCCTGAATGACAATCACACTTACCTACTATCAACAAACACTAAAGGACTTTGGAGATTAGCTTTTCCTCAGACTTGATGATGCTTCTTAATAAATTCAATTTAGAATTACAAGACGAAACACAATTGTATGTGAAACTTATACTGTATGTGAAACTTATACGGCAAGTCATTATGACAACTAATGTCATTTAAATCACAAATAATGTCAAGCTGCTTTACACACTTGCCATATTGTTAAGTTAAAACAAGAACTAAGATCACTATTTCCATACAAATTTGCAGTAGAAAACATTTTGCAAAAGTCTGCCAGCATACTTTTGGTTATCAATGCAAGTGCAAAGGAATTTTAGTATTTCACAATCTACTTACTTGTATAATTGAGAAGCACCCACCTAACCTTTAATAGGAAGTGATTAACCTCCAATATAATGATATGCCAAAAGGCAAATATTGAGAACATGACAGAATTCTATAAATACCTTCCAAATGATAAATATGCTCAATTAAAATCATACACTGGAGGATTGACAAAGTACATAGTAGAAGCTAGTTGTGTGAAGGCATTTGAAAGACAAAATATGTAAAATCACATTACAGAAAAGCACAATAGAAACATTTGCAAGAGATTTGCAAGATTTGCAAAAGATTTCAGTGCTTACCATATTAGCACTCAAGTGCTAACATGTATTTTGAATAAAAAACTAATGGAGGGCCTCCCTGATGGCACAAGGGGTTAAGCACTGCACTATGAAGCAATCCGCAGCCTCTGCAGCATGAGTTCGATCTCCGGCTGTCCAGGGAGAAACCCACATGGCACAGCAGACCTCTCCTGACCCGCCCACTGCCCCCCTCAGCAGTGTACTTTGGTCCGTCTGCCTATTGTTCTCCATTCTGTCTCTGGTGAATCCTCTCATCCCCTGCATCTCTGGCCTGTACCCCAGCTCTTGTATGTATAAATAAATAAATCTTAAAAAAAAAAAATGGAAATTTGTTTCCTTCTCGTTACATAAATGTACAAAAGCCCCAATTTTGCCTCTGGCCCATAAACCATAACCTTTACCAAAACATTTGCCAACCTCTACTCTAGAGTAGTGCAGGAGTTTCTTTTTCACATCTAAATAAAATCACAGTATATTAAACATCACCATGAACAGTACTTCTAACAAAATCGGTTTATATCCTGGCAATATTACCTGATAATACTTCTACATGTAGTCCTTTCTATGGTTATGATCCATGTACTCTTATGAAGTAAATTTCCTAAGAAAATAACAGGCAGGTCTGCATTACAACTGGACAGAGAAGAAAGTAGTAATCCTGAACGTCAGCAAAGCTTTATAATTTCATTTACTTCTACTCCAACAGAAAATTCAACTTTTTATTCATTAATCCAATTCTATCACCAAAACCTTGAATGCTAAACAAAAAACAAAAGCACTTCAAAAAGGTTACTTAGAAACTCCATTTTACTTGAGTTCAAAGCTTTTTCAAATGTACTCATACAAATACATGATTTCTTATAGTACCTTTAGATTTATAAAGTCTCAATATTAATAAGTTAGTAATATTTTCTGAGTACTGGATTTGCCTTTATGCTTTATTTTATCTGCTGCCCTTTGCTTTTGTTGAGGCTACTCATATAATAGAGTAGAAGTCTGAAGCTGTTGGGCATACACTTTATCATCATAAATGAAAAATCTCCCTAACAAAGAAAACAGGGTAGAAAGTGAAATAGATACACACAGATAGATTCCTAACTTTGCCCCAGGATCAAGGGTGTCCGAAGCCAGTCATATCAGCTAAATGTGTTAATGTTCACCCCTTTGGCTTCAGTTAGATTCCTATCACCTAAAATTCAAAGGGTGCTAAATACTGCAATTATGCAATCATTCAGATTAAACCTGTAGATTTTTCTAGAAAGGGCCTTCTAACCATTTTCTGTTTAGATTTTTCTATTGTTTCTAGATGCTGGTGTTAAAAGGACTCTTTGTTCTGGGCTTAGTCTACATTGCTCCACCTTATCTTGCTGTAGCATCTCTCAGAGAGAACCATTCAAACCACTGGGAAACCCCTTCAAGCATTTAGCACAAAAGTAAACCATAAGATACTATCACAGATCTCCATCTGTACTGATTTTGAAGTTGTTCTTTACAAATGGATTAAGAATGTCTCACTTCTGTGAAAATAACAATACAACTTCATTTTTAAAAAGTAATAAAATGATTGTTCATTTCTCTTAGTTTATTAGTGGTATTAGTTCTAATTAACTGATCTATTAGTTGCTCAGAGAACTATAAAAGATTTTTTTTTTTACCTTTGTTAAGACAGCTTAGCGTTTTCCAATAAAACTAACAACAAAAACAGAAAACAAAAGCATATTCCTTTAGCTCTGCTTCTCACATATACTAAACTAAGTGAATGAATTTGAAAAATTCCTACCTTAGCGAGTGACATAATTTTACCCATCATTAGAGGAAAGGGGAAAGAGCAAGTTTAAAAAAACTACCTTTATTTTTTATTTCTTTTTCAGTTACATACTTTTAAACAGGGATGTGTTTCAATATCCAGACATTCAGGCAACGTTGACTTCATTAGTGTCGACAGAACAGAAGCATAGAAATGCAAAACATTGTTGGCTTAACCTGAACATACCTGCATTACCTATTATTGACCAGTTTGTGTTGCCAAAAGACTTATTCCTTGGCATTAAAATGGAGCACTTAAAAATATTGCTAAAAAGCAAATGTCTACACACTGGTCTTTGCAGCAAATAAGGGTATTTATACTTTTAAAATATTTTAAGTCCATAATTGGATTAATATACACACCTTCTTATGTATAAGGAGTTCAGATCATATAAACACTGTACAGTGCAAAAAACCCTACTGAGAATAAAACTAAATAGGCTTATGATAAGAAATACAGATATCGCATGTATTTACAAACATCATAGACACACAAATTTGGTCAAATACTGTAAAGAAAGAAGTGGTTTCACATTATAATGGCCAAAACATCCATCTACCTTGCTCAAAGCAAACAAAAATAAAAACTCAGCTTGTAACTCCTGTAGTTTAAGACATGATGACAGTATACCAATAGATAGAATGGAAACTGTTGACCAAATTATACAGCAAATGAGCGCAAGTTTTTAAAATCAAGAACTGAAAAAGACCATTCAGGATCCAAAGTAACCGTGAAAAACAATGTCCTGATTTGCGGTATTCATATGGGTGCCGAATTAAAAAAAAAATGCAGTGAACTTTTGGCTAATAACAAAATAAATTACAAAGTACAATTAAATCCCTGTAAGTGGAATAATGAAGTCAAAATGTAAATTTATTTACTTTAATTACACATTTTAAATGTTACCTTGAGACAATAAAAATAAATAAGCATGTCCAGGGCACCCACTTAAAAGACAAAGAAGGGTCTGCATGGAAGGCATAAGTAACGAGTTTATACATGAAAGGTGTATATGAGATCTCAACAACAAAATTATCTTTCTAGCCAGTCTTTCTTTTAACACTTCTGGGAAATTCTGGCTAGCAGAATGTGACAGAAGTACGCCTGTGTTTGCACAGCTTAAAACAAAGCATACTGGAAAATTGGAATGGGTTTCCTTTTTGACAGAACCGTTACTTTGTTCATATGCAGGCACTTCGAAAGACTATGGAGGCAAAGCACCTAACCCATCCTCTCCAAAACAGTTTCCAATCATCAATCATCAAAATAATGCTAAAAAGTAGGAAGATTCTAAGAGAACCAGCCAAGTTGAATACAAGAAACTAATGGGCACAGAGGGCAATAGTGAACCCAGGTTTTATTGCTGGGGAGCAGGGAAGGGGTCCTTTTTTTCTTTTTTTTATCAAAGAGCAAATAATAAACAGACTTCATTGCATGGCACATCCAAAGTCTTCTGCTTCCAGGAGAATGTAATCATTCTGTGGTAGGTTTCAGTGGGATCTGCTAAGACTTCAACTTACACATTGCAATGAGATTCACATTTATGTCCTCTCCTTAGTGTATTTAAAAAAGAGAAAAGAAAAATTCCAACATATCTCATTCCTCAAAGTATTCATTTCTTGCTGTCTAACATACATTATTATCTGGAAGCATAAAGTTACATTATACAAATATTTTGCATTTTTAAAAATAAACACTTTTGCCACTGCGGCAACACTATACTTCACATGGGGTGTAACAAAAGCGGAGCTCTTATTTCCTCACCACTTGTGATTTGTTTTATCACGATCAACCATCTGCCAAACCCATAGCGCTTTTTCCTCAGTACCTCTGGGCAGCGATTGTACCATGATTTCACAGAGAGAATGTTAATATGATTCGTGAATAGCAGTACCATCATTAACACTAAAATCAATGCTGATGTCATACAAAAAATGAACTTATAACTTCGTTTAAATACCTGGGCAATTCTGCATTCTTTTTTGTAATCCATCAGGGAGAAAATTCCTATTTGAGTATGCTCTTACGGAAGTTATAAAAAACCAAATTGGCATATAACTGGCTGGCATTTGAGATACTGTACTGCTTTCTACAACAGGAGGAGAGCTTCTGAAAAATGTTCTATAGAACGTATTCATCAATACCACCTCATTGGTCCATTCCATTCACTGATGGGCAAAGTACTCATGTTTTGTCAAACTTTTAAAGCTTCCATCAAAGGTAAATTAGAAAAAAAAAATATGAATGTAAGACAACCACAAAATGAAGTATGAAAGTATGACATGTTTGTTTCTAATAGTGAGTCCTTGAAAATCTTTGTGGTCACTACAGAGATGATTTTAATCACAAGACAGCAGATGGACACATAAGTAACTCCACGTGATCTGTCCGCTTCCAGAGTCATTTGTGGCGCTGTATGGTTTTCCTTTTCCTTCGTTTGAAAAAACAGCAGCACCTGCAAGTGGAGAAAACACTCCTTTTATTATAAAAGCACTAAAATGTCGCAAAGTAAGGCTGAATTTATGATATTAAGAAGGAACAGGCTAGTGCAAGATAAACAGTGAACATGCCAGTGAAGCATTCATATTAGTGAAACTATGACAGAGTTATTACTATTTTGTCATCAACATGCCTTTTAGGAAGAGCAAAACATTCTATGCAATGTTAAAAGAAGCTACTTTTGCACCAAGTCTCTTTGAGAAGCTATGGAGCTCTGCATCCTAACTGACCCATCATATTTTATTTTAGATACTTAATCTCTGGTTGTGCCATGCTTTTTATAGTTGATCTCAGGCATTCTCTCCTTTCCTCCTGATAGTTAGGTATGATTGCTGGAGTAGCTGTTAAAAAAGTAATAGTGGTCCTAATAATGAGGATTTAATTTTCATCAAGAATTAGGTTGATTTGCAAAAAACAAAAAGAGAAATTCAAAATCTACTTCCCAACAAACAATTCCCATCATATCTACAAAATGGAAAAGAAAAAAATATTTGAGATAGGATAAGAATGTCAATTAACACTTTTTAATTCTTTGGGGGTTCAAGATCAATAAGCTTGTTATTTTTTACTCTAATTTTACCTTAATTAAAATAACATAAGCTTGACCACCTTTAACCCTTAAAGAATTAAAAAGTGTTAACTGATTATGCTCACCATTTCAAATAGCACAGTCAAGGTGATTCAGTTTTACAATTAAAACCTGATTCAGGATTGCCTGACTATGAAGTATATATAGATTTTATTCCCAGGGTGGAAAAAAAAGACTAGATATAGTCCAGTCCCTAAGAGAACTAGTTTTTCTTGCAGTGAATTTGCCCAGTAATGAGCAGATGCAATTTAGAGCAATGCTGAGGCTGGTATGAACTGAAAGTCAAATAAAAATTGCTGATGAGCAACACAACACACACATTCTAAAAGTTTGGCATCCCACCAAATAAAGGTTCAGCTTTTTCCCTTACACACTTAAAACAAAGTCAAGAATATCAAGATTATAAGCACCACGTGTAGAGAGGCACTGTTGGGTATTTTTTCCACTGAAGTCCAGTGTGTATGTATGCATGTAAATGTGGAAATCATATTATGTAACAGAAGTAAGACAAACTTATATACATGGTGATTCCATCAACAAAAAGCTATCGATTCAGAGCTTAGACATGTGACCTTATAGAGATGTCCCTGTAACTCTTATCAGTTCATCTTTATAAAAGGATATTAATTCAACATCTTCAAGCAAAGCATAATAGAAACCACATAGTTTTAACTATCTTACCTGGCAAAAAAAAAAATGGAAAATAAAGTCATTATTAGATATGTTTTATATCTTTTTTGAAATAAAAAGATTTATTTATTTATGCCTATAAGAAATGGGGTATAGGCTAGAGGTGCAGAGGGTGAGAGGATTCACTGCAAAGTGGGGAGCAGAACAGGTGTATCTACTGAAATACACTGCTGACGGGAGCAGCAGGAGAGACAGGAGAGGTCTGTTGTGCCTAGACCTAGGAAGAAAGTTATGAAATGTCCATATTGTAAAAAACGAAACACTTAAAAATTGTACTTAGGGAAAAAAGAAGACCAAGTATTTAGAAGATCAGATTTAGAAATAGACATATTCACTGTAAACTTAGTCATTGTTTAATATAAAGTTCTATTAATAATGATCACCATTCCTATTTTTTAATTAAAAAGTACAATTTCATAAAATTTTCTACTGAAAAGTTTTTTTTTAAGGTATATATATATATATATGTCTTCTGGAATGGAGATTTTAATGCAATTTGTTTTTGTGAACAAATTCCAGTCCCAGATTTCCACACTTGCATTAGCATTTCACTTTGTTCAATTTAGTATTCCAGTATCATTTTGCTGCTTTCAGTTCTGAGAGCTGAGTTCCCATTTCTTAGGTAATCTTTCCTTGATTTTTTATTTTGAATATAGAAAGCCACTCTAAATGTTAATGAGACTAAATAAGATTTTTAATGAATTATAATTATAGAGGCCTTTTAAATTCAAAGACAATCTAAAAAATCAAGTTTTTCAAAAATAAATCCCACTGACTAGAGTACATACTTTTAATAAATTTACCAAAGCTGTCATCATCTTAAACCTACTACCACCAGAGGGCAGCATTGGTTTATGTAATGTGAGCACATCCTGTTAGCGCAGAAACAAAAGTGCTCTCAATGATATACTTACAGCAAAAGGAAATATGTAACCTTGTAGATGATTTCTTAAAATAAGCGATTACCAAAACAATTAATTAGGTTTCTAACCAACTGTCTCCTGTCCCTGAACATAAAACACTGTTGTTCCCATACCATTACTGTCAAGTCACCTTTTCCGCCCCCTCTGACTACTTAGCACTATCTGAATGTATTTTATTTTTTTACTTATAATCTACATTTTAGTTTATGAATATAAACTTCATAAGGGGTGACCCACATACCACATGCACACGAGGCTGGAATTCATCTAATAGTTTAATAAATGAGGGCCACCCTGGTGTCTCAGACGGTTGAGCGCAGTACTGTGAAGCTGTCCGCAGCCTCTGCAGAGCCGGTTCGATCCCCACAGACCTCTCAGCAACCCACATGGTGCGGCAGACCTCTCCTGTCTCGCCCGCTGCTCCCCTCAGCAGTGTATTTCGGTCACTCTGCCTGTTCTGTTCCCTGCTCTATCTCTGGTGAATCCTCTCACCCTTCTGCACATCTGGCCTGTACCCCGGTTCTTGTATAAATAAAAAAAAAAAAAAAAAAAAGGAAAAAAAAAAATGATAGGCCTTATATATGCCACTAACTCCTAGCAAGAACGCAGCAAAAATTCTAAAGCTCGAGTTCTAGCCCACAGGCCACAATCCTTAGTAAACTAATAAAATGCAGATTTTAGTACCTGTGAAAGTTTTGTTGGAAAAAAAGGAGCATGTATCAGAATCTTTAAAAAATCTGACTCCCAAGAAGCACTGCTCTCTAGATGGTCATGTTCTCTCTCTAGGTCACATTCCTGCTTCTTCATGCCCAGTAAACCCTTGTCCTGGATGTGACAAGCTGAGCACTGGAGACACTGAGAACACACCATGAGTGCAGGTGATACATAAAGAGAGACAGTGCAATTTTAAAATAGTATAGTTGAAAGGGGAGTAAACATTCTCACAGACGATGTAAATATTTTTTTCCAACAGATTATCTAGTTTTAGAAAATTATCCATACCTTCAAAATTTTAAAATGTATTTTCTCTCCCTGCTGCTCAGCGGCTACATTTACATTACTTCACACCTCATTTGGGGTCTCTTCAAGTCTAGGCTACAGACAACCACTTTGGGGAAACTGATTAAGCTCACCAGGCATTTACATCGACATTAAATCAATCACCTGACATTAAATCAATATTTTACTTTTTCTTGGCTCTTTCTTGATCATCCCTTACGTAGTTCCTGAAAGCCAATATCCTCTCACACATCAGTGCTTCTGATGTGACCATTTGCTGGTGAGCCTAAAAGCTTTGAAACCACATCTCTCCTCTTAAAGTCTTTGGGAACAAATGCCAAGTCCTATTTTTGGTTAACTCTATGGTCATACAGGTAGTTACCATGACATGAATCAAAATCCAGAACCATGCAGAAAATGTACCTGGTAAGGGCCAAGCCTTTGCTAGTGAACGGCAGCACCATTTCCCCTGTACCTTTCTCTTTCATCTAGAATTTAGCTCGTCTTTCTGGGTCTTTGTCCTATGCTTCCTTCTCACAAAAAACCCATAGAAACAGAAGCAAGTTTCTTTGTCTGGACCTAAAGTTCTTATCTATTCCTTCCACTGGTTCATCTTTGGCACCTGTCTGACTCTATCCACTAGAAGACTCTAGAACCTAACCATTTCTATTTGACTTGGTGACTATAGAGAAAAAAATCTTTCATGACATATAACCTGTAAATCTGAGACAAATGATTTCCCCCTGAAAACTACTGCCTGAAATATAATTTCAAATCTCTAGATCTCCTGGTTTCTAGATGAACACGTGTGTAATTAAGCAAGCAGAATTCAAATGAGAAAAAAAGACCATCATAACTATTCCAATGAGGAATCTGCAGACCCAGCCTCCTCTCCAATGTCCTCCCATTCATCCACATACGCTGAGAGCCTTAGTTCTCAAATGACTTTCGAAATTTCCATGTTCTTTCATGCTGACTTCAGAACTTTCAACCTGTCTCCACCATTCCTGAGCCTTATAATTGACTTCCCAGCTCAATCACTCACCTCTCCAATCTGCCATTCAAACTACCATCATACAGACGGCCAAACCCTTTTCCTCTTAAGTCTCAGCAATGTTTCTCCATCGTCTAAATTCAACCAACAGGTTGGTTCCAACCTATTTCCATTATACGCTTGTCCTCTGTTAGGCTTCCACCCCAGGCAATCCATAGCATGGGAAGGAGGAAGAGAGGGAAAGGAAAGGAGGAAAACAGGCGAAAATCTATGTGCTGTTCCTATATCACACCACATGGTCTTTCACATCTATGTCTCTTCGGTCATGCGATTCCTTAAACCTAAAATCTGTTTAACCTCTCTCAGAAGACAGTTATACAGTCTTTATCACTATACAATAATGTTTATGCCTCTACCTGCCTCACTGACTGACCTCTTGAAGAAATATGCTTTACTTATCTTTATAGTTCCAGAGACTATCAAAGTCCTGAACATGTAGTAGAAATTAAATGAATGGCCCAAGATTGTCCTCTTAAAATATTTTCTAAGCAAGGGTTTAATTTCTAGACTACTTACCCCAAATATAAATTCTCTATCTAGCTTCAGAGAGAGAAACAATTTGTATTTTGTTAATGATTTTCTGCAATCTAATAAACCCCAGGAAATGATTTAAGCTGTCAATTAATTTTCCCCAGGCTCATGATTACACTGATTTTTGGCATAAAACACAAACTCACTACCCTGTACTGAAAAAGATAGGAGCATTCAGTCAGCTCTCTCAGTGCCCACTCATATTCACATACTCTATTCCCACATGGGGTACTCTTCAAACCTTCCCCATCCTTTCTTTGCATTGTCATCTAACCTCTCGTCTGACTCGCTCTGGCCAACTTTCTTGACTAGTCTTACTAACCTTTCAGAACTAGGGCAATGGTATCCTTATTGTGGATCACCCCTGCTGAAAGTTCAGAGTCCAGTCTCTGAACTCCAGTAATGCTATATTCCATCCCAATGTGCAAATTCTATCCCCTGTATTAGACCACTGAGTGCCCACCTTAGTTACTCCTTAGAAATTACCCTAGACACTTACTAAAAATACTGATAACCAGAACCCATGACAGATCAACTAAGTGTCGGTATATTTTTTTTAGATTCCTTGGGTGATTGTAATGTGAAGTCAAGGCAGAGAACTGCTGTGTAAATGGCACTGGTATACTTAAAATCTTCTCTAACAGAACATAAGGGTCTTGGCTTTTCCTCATAACAATCATATTACTGAACAATAAGTGTTCAATAAAAGTTGGAAAGGGAAAAGAGATGATTTCATACTACTTGAAAACTAAATAACTAAACAAAATTTTGTTCTCCTAAATTTCTGGAATGAAAAAAGTGCTAGCATTCATATCACTCGTGTTAAAATTTTTTTTTTCCTCAATGTAGTAAAAAGTAAGCAAATTCTCATGACTAATAAAGGAGACACTTTATACCCAGGGGAACAGAACATTTTCCACCATACAGGAATCAAAGAATTATCCTCGTGAGTTATTACTTCAGTAACGTGAAGACTCTACACTGTCCTCTGGACAATTCATTCTAACAGGGCAAGGTAAGAGGGAGCTCCACCAATGTCAGGTAAGAAGATAGAGAGGAAACTGGAAAGGCAATTCTGAAAGAGAATTCTAGCTACCCTTAATGCAGCAGAAGAGCAGCTAAGACGCAATGGAGAGAATGAAGTCATGTTCACACTTCCAATCACAGACCAACAAAGATGTGAAGAATGTAACAATGAACTAATAGGAATGTTAGAATAAATGTCAGAATAAAAGGAAAGACAAAATTTTATGTGTTAAAAAAAGAGTATCAGTTTTTTTAACTGGTGAAGTACTTAGGAAAGTTGTGGGGATTTTTGTATCCCAAATGGAGTAAAGCTTTTCTGCAGTCAGAACTGCTATCTGTTCATTTTTTTAATAACTGTTTTATTAAGATATATATTATTCATGAGTCATAAAATACACCCTTTTAAAGTAAAACTTTACTAGATTTACATATTTAAAGAGCTTTGTAAGTCAGCACCAGTATCTAGTCTCAAAACATTTTTGTCACCCCGTGAAGAAACCGCATCACCTACTATATCCATGCTCCTCCTCTGTCCTGCCCAAGACAATTACTAATCTATTTTTTTTTTTTTTTTTTTTTAAAAGATTTATTTATTTATTTATTTTTTTAATTTATTTATTTTTTTTTAAGATTTATTTATTTATTTATACAAGCACTGGGCACAGTCAGAAGCGCGGGAGGGTGAGAGAATTCACCAGAGCCAGAGCGGGGAGCAGAGCAGGCAGAAGGACAGAAATACACTGCTGAGGGGAGCAGCGGGCGGCAGGAGAGGTCTGCGCGCCATGTGGGACCCTCCTCCGGTGGCCGGGGAGCAGCCGGGGATCGAACCGGCACTGCAGAGTCTGCGGACAGCTTCGCAACCCAGCGCTCAACCGCTGCGCCACCGGGGAGGCCCTACTAATCTATTTTCTGTCTATATATTTGCTTAATCTGGACATTTCATTTAAATGGAATCATACAGTAGGTGGCTTTTACCTGGCTTCTTTCACTTACCATAATACATTCAATTTCATTTGTTAATATTGTCAACTAGTAGCCCATATTATGGCTGTAATTGATTATTTAGGCAATTCTTCAGTAATAATTTATTGAGATGCACTGTTTCAGGCACGAGGGTGATCTGAAGATGAAAAATCTCTTTTCAAGAAATTCAAGAGGTTTCAAAAAGTAGAAGACAAAGAAAATAACATATCAAAGGCAAACTTAAAGAACTAATGATATACAGGATTCAGAATGGAAAATGAGGTGAGAGACAGGCAGGGACAAGACTTAGAGAGGTATGACGGACACGGTGCTGCACCAGGAGACGGGGCGTGACACCCTAGGACACGGAGAATCTTTCATTCAGGAATAACCTTCCCACCACTTTCTTTTTTCTCCTCTTTCATCACCTACATCTCCTCTTTCATCATTTCAACTAAATTACTATGCCATTCTCCAAAGCTACCTCTATAAAGCATTCTTTGATCATCCTATCAATGAATAATCTGGTTTTTTCTTTACAAATTTTAACAGGGCTTCTTAAATACCTTTTTCATAGTATTTGTCATATCCTACTACAACTGAAATTTTTCCTGCTGGTGCTTAATCTTTTTAATGGTTCAAACAATATCAGGTATTTTTGAGATCCAAACAAGGTAACTGTTGAATGAATAACTAGGAAGATGTAACAGATTTAGTTGAAAGTAGGTCTACAAGCCATGTAATTAAAACAGCACGGTAGTGGAATAAAAACAGACACAAAGGCAAATGGAATTGAGAACCCAGAAATAAAACCATACATATATGGTCAACTAATCCATGACAAAGGAGCAAAGAATATGTACGGGAACAATGATAGTCTCTTCAATAAATAGTGCTGGGAAAACTGGACCACTACATGCTAAAGAATGAAACTAGACTACTACCTTAGACCATACACAAAAACCAACTCAAAATGAATAAAACTTGAATATAAGACCTGAAACCACAAAATATATAAAAGAAAATATAGGCAAAACATTCTATGACATACACCTCAGAAACATCTTTGAGGACTCATCTCCAGAAACAAGGAAAATGAAGGAAAAGATAAACAGCTGGGACTACATAAAACTAAATAGCTCTGTACAGCAAAAGAAAGTAACTAAAGCAAAGAGACACCCTACTGAATGGAAGAATATGTCTGTACTCCATATAATTGATAAGGAACTGATATCAAAGATCTACAGTGTTTATACAACTCAACAAAAACAAAGAAAGCAACTAAGTTAAAAAACAGGCAGATCTAAAAAGATACTTTTCCAAATAGGAAATGCAAATAGCCAACAGATATCTGAAAAAAAAAAAAAAAAGGTTCAACATCACTTATAATCAGGAAAATGCAAATCAAAACCGCAAGTAGATACCAACTCACACTGGTGAAAATGGTCTATATTAAAAAAAAACTGGAAACAACAAATGCAGGTGCGGATGTCAAGAAAAAAGAACCCTCTTACACTGCTGGTGGGAATGCAAACTGGTCCAATCACTATGGACATATAACCTAGTGATTCCACTTCTAGGAATCTAACCAAAGGACACAAAACATTAATTCAAAAGGAAACTTGCACTCCATATTTACTGCAGCACTATTTATAATAGCTAAGATATGGACACAACCTAAACAACCCAAAAACAGATACAGGGATCAAGAAGATGTGGTATGATATACACAATAGACTACTACTCAAGTGATCAAAAAAGATAACATTTGCAGCAACATGGATGGAGGTGGAAGGCATTATGCTACTGAAATAAATGAGAAAGAAAAAAAATACCCGATGGTTTCACTTAGAGATGGAACAGAGGAAAATCGAACGAAGGGTCAGGAAAAAGAAAAAAACTTGCAGGCACTACAGACCTGAGGGAAACAGCAGGAGAGGGATGAGATGGGGTGGCAAGAGGGGAGGGGAGAGCAAGGGACTATGGTGACAGTTCACAGGTGATATGGTGGTATGAAGGGAACTACACCTGAGGCGGAAATCAAATACTGTACAAACGTTAACAATGATGTCAGAAAATAAAAAATTAAAAAAAGTTTCTTCATCTTGCAACCATTTTGGAAATTATGTAGGGAAGCTTTTGATTATGAATAAATGTTCCAAAATTTACTATCTAATCCAAGTTTCTTTATTCACTCAAAGGATGACTCAAAATTTGTACTGAAACTGAGAGAATTTAAAATGCAGCATTTCCACAAAAGGCAAATGTTGAGAATAAATTTGTTCTTCTAAACAGGGACACAATGTTTTGTAAAATCTATATTAACAGAAGTTGCTTGAAAAAGAAAAATACCGGATGGTCTCACTCATAGCAGGAATTTAGAAAACCTAAATAAGGGACCAGGAAAAAAACCCAATTATAATACAGTAAAAATCAAAATCGACAGGCAACTATAAACCAGAGACACGCTACAGGGTGGGGGAGGAGGGAGTAGGATCAAAACAAGGGGGGGTGGGGGGTGGGAGCTGTATGGGGACTATAACCAAAATGAAAATGCATACATTGTGCAAAAACAAAAAATGATGTAAAAAATATATAAAATAAAAATATAAAAGAATTTTCCGTACTACACTACAGTTTATCATGAAACTTAGCAATGGATGACACATATTCACAGACAATGAATCAGTCAATGAAGCACTGTTTTAGTTATACCACTGGGGTGGGGCTGGGGGTCTGCTGTGTGTTTTTAATAACTACAAACAGGAAATAAGAAAGATTAAATTAAAAACTGTCTTTCTATGTAAAAGAGCAAATAAAGCATCTGCATTACAAAAGAAATGCACAAGCACAAGCAGGGTTGGTGTCTCATCTACGTGATTAACAAGTGTGCCCAAATCTAAGTCACTTAAAGCAAAAAAGTTGCAGCAGGCAAAAGAGCTCCTCCAAAAATTAATTGTCACTTTTCAGGGCTAATGTAAATGATATCAAGTACTTTTGAACAACTTTTACCAATTATAATTTCTATATTGAAGAGCTTGTTTTTTTAAAAATGCAGAATCTTTGAAATTACAGTCAATGGAGCTATTTCTGCCTGTCTACACTTAAAAACTCACCACATGTTCAACACTTTCTGGCAGCTATATACACACACAAAAAAAAATGAGATAGAGATAAGTAAAGAGAGAGACACACACACACAGAGAAAGAGAGAGAAAGAGATCATCAGCAACAGCACAAAATGAAATTATCACATTGTTTTTCATGCTTAATTTCTTCCAAGCATCATTATTATAATTTACACTCACAAAACACAAATTTGAAAAGGATATTAATGCATGCAGTATATATAAAACTTATAAATATTTATCCTTATTCTTACAGAAAAAATGAACATGTATGGTAATAATAACTTTCACGCATCAACTCTCTAAAAACAAAAAGCTAAAAATATAGAAATCTAAATAAGAATTTGGGCATAGTTCTTAAATGACTGTATTTATATTATTACCATAAATTTAGTGATTAAAATAATTAAACATATCATTTTCCATGCACCTATTTCTTGATTTAAAAATTCTTGAAGTAATTATACAAGACTATAAATCTCAATCATGCATAGTTTAAGAACAATAAGTTACTAAAAGAAGAAAATGAATGCGTACTTGGTTTCATCCATCACTTCTACTTCAGTAGGGGCTGTGATGGGTGCATTAGAACGTCCTGCAGTAGGGTCATCTGTGTTTAACTCTCCATTTGTAGAACTTACAACCTGCCAAAGAAAATAAAAATTACACATACACAAAGTAACAGGTGATAAGCATCATTAATGTTAAGTATTTAAATTAGAACATTATTATGCAGAACACAAAACAATTAGTATGTAGTTGTTCATAACTGAATACAGTAAGAAATCTAGCTTTCTGTTAAAGATAAGATCATCCAATATTTGTTTTAACTTCTTTTTCATTTTGAAATTTTTGTACTCTCTCACCTTCCCTCTGATTTTTAAAGCTAACTCCAAAACTTCTCTCTCCATGAGCTCCCTCTGGTGTGCCCATCGCCTTTGGCACCTTGCTACATCATGAATTACTTCACTTGCAAACCTCAATACTGCTCCTTCCAAAGGATTTTCATTTCAATCTGAAATTTCATTTCGATTCACTGAAGTGTCCAAGTGTTCACCCAATTGTTCAAGCCTCAAATTCAGGAGTCATTCTGACATTTCACATTTACTGAAACATCTAATTCATCACCCAATTTATATCACAAATCTCATCAGCATTCCCATGACTAGGACAGGACTTCAGTTCTGTAATAAGAGCAGAAACCTATAAGTGGTCTTTTGCTTGTACTTGTTCCCCACTCCCCATTAATGAATTGTCCACACAACAAGCATGTTATTCTTTTTAAGATGTAAATTAACTCAAGTGTTGACATCCTATTGCATTTACAATAAAGATCAATACTCTTTACCCTAATTTACAAAGCCCCAAAAGATCTGAACCTTGCCTTCTTCTCTGATTGCATACCACTTTTCCCTTTACTCACCAGCTTCCATCTGTTTGTCAAGCTCATTCCCACCTTAAGGCCTTTGCATTTATCTATTCTCATTGCCTAGAATTCTCTTTCTACTGGTAGGCTACTTCTTATCTTTCAGATTCTCAAGGAACATTTCTAAAACAGGCCCTTTCTTTCCCACAATCTAACACTTCCAGACATGCTTTCACAATATACTCTACTTTTAACTTGTTATTAGAAGAGTTACTTGCATTTATCTATGTTGATGTTTTTCCGTTTATTTCTTGATCCTCCATTATTGCAAGAACCCTGTGTTGTCCCCTTACTATACCTCTCCACTCTACCTAGCACAGAACAGGCACTCAATAAATACTTGAAGTAAATAAATGCATGCATGAATGAATGAAATCCTAAAATAATACAAAAAGAAAAACTGTTACAAAACTCCCAAACCACCTAAATTCTCTTGGTCCTAGAAAATGACCTTACTGTCTTATTACTCACATTCCCTAAACTTTATTCTTTAAAACAAATCTTAACTTACCACTTTTTTAACTAGATCACTGTTTTATTCTAAAGGGAACTCAGGGACAGCCAGATGGAAAAGCGGCACAGGGCAATGTATGGGGAAAGGGACAGAACTCCCTATGTCCCTAAAGGGACCACTCTTTGCCATCTCTGTACGTTCTCCCGAAATCTCCACGTGCTAGTCAAACTGCTAGCTTTCCAAACTCAGTCCTTTATGAGTTTTATGGAGGGTTGATGACACATTTTTTAACAGTTTTCCATTCACTTATTTTTTTAACATGTTCTTTTAGTTTTTATCATGGAAAATATCACACACAAACAAAGTAGATAGAATAGTATAATGAAACACCTCTGCCCCGTGATGATCAACCCTCTGTCATCCTGGTTTCATCAATACCTCATAATCTGTTCTCTGTTCCTAGATCAGAACTCTAAAAAAGAGTTCTTTTAAGGGCCTCCCCTGGTGGCACAGCGGTTGAGCGCTGGGCTGCGAAGCTGCCCGCAGCCTCTGCAGTGCCGGTTCAATCCCAGGCTCTCGGCGAGGGTCCCACGTCGCGACAGACCTCTCCTGCAGGCCGCTGCTCCCCTCAGCAGTGTATTTCAGTCAGTCTGCCTGTTCTGTTCCCCACTCTGGCTCTGATGAATTCTCTCACCCTCCCGCGCTTCTGGCTGTACCCAGTACTTGTATGTATGTATGTATGTATGTATGTATGTATGCATGCATGCATGTATGTATAAATAAATAAATAAATAGGGGACTCAGTATTAAAAAAAAAGAGTTCTTTTAAAAGTTACCAAAAATTTAAAAATTTCCAGAAAATATATTTGATGGTCTTTGCTCAGTCCTAATCTTCCTATAATTTTGTATCACTTGCCACAAACTAATGACTTTGGAGTAAGTGGGTCTAGATTGAAAACCTAATTCTATACTTAGCAGCTCTGTGACCCTAGCAGACCCTATGTGACCTTTTCTTGCTAAAGCTCAGTGTTCCCAACTACAGAATGAGAAACAGTAGTATCTATTTAACAAGGCAACATGAGGATGAAAAGAAATCGATATGTGAAGCACCATGACAGGCATATAGTAAGAGCGCAATACATGGTGGCCATCATTAGTACTCAGTCCTACCCACGATGGTGGTGTATACTACCAGCTACAAGGACAGACTCTGAGATTAACCACTCAATTAGTTAGACAATAACTAGCACACCTCACAGTGTTTCCAAAGGAAAGTAACTGGAAATCAATCAATATATCTGGCTTAATTCAAGCATTATTCAAGTTCAGCTTCCTCTAGCCTCCTGGAACAAGTACTAGAAATGGAAAGTGCATCTGTGCCTTTAGCTGAAAACAAACCTACTTTGATCATCTTGAGAAACCACCCAGGCAGACAGTTACCCCACTTAAGTGTGCCTCTGTGCTTCAGGGGCATGGGGCTTCCTGCTTTCTGCTAGTCTGTTAAGTTCTGTTATTTTCCCCCCTCTTATTTCTCCCTCTTTCTGAAAACATTTCAAAATAATTATTTAACATATATGGTTCTTTATTCTTAATTTTTAAATGTCCGTGCCCCTATGTGAATTGGAAAGGAGCTAGCGAACAGATCTCTTATCTTATACTACTGTATTCTCTACCACCTTTACCTAGCTGAGTGCCTCACACACAGCGGATAATCAAAAGAGCTCACTGAACAAATTCCATTGCTCTTCCCTCGACAAAATATTCAACTTTTTTTTTCCTTTGTTTTCTTCGATGGTCCTAGATAGTTGGAGGGACCCCCTCAAATTATAGACAGCTTTCTGAGTATGTCCTCCCTTACTTTAAGCAACAACTAAAAATTTAAAACCCACATACTCCAAATTTTCAGCAACAGAAACTGCGTGTGTATGCTTATTAAATAATTTGATTTATTTCAGTTCACACGCATACTAACATTAATGAACTTTATTTTTACTAAAATGTTTCAAATCCCATTCTACCTGGTTGACCAAAAACAATCTAGAAGGAAATAACATCTCCCTTTATGCAATTTGTTAATATAAACTTCTTGGGCTTTCCTTGTTTCCTAACCTTCTGAGTAAAAGCCAAAATCCCAGGGTTGTAATAGAATCAATGTAGTAAAGAGTTCTCCCATAAACATGGCCTACTTAACACCAGTGACTAGACAGTCTATCATCGCATTAAAACCAGTGGTCTTTTTGCAAGGGGTTTTACAAAGAAGAAACAAAGACATAATGTTGTAAGTAATGGGTTATTATATTCCTAGAAACCTAAATCAATAATCAATCACGTAAATGTATACAAACTATTTTGATAAGCCATAGTCTAAAGATGATTTATTTAGGTGACATTATTAGAATTAAATGAGCCAGAACATAAGAGTCTCTGAAATATGTATTCACCACTTTACTTCCTTAATACAAATGTATTTTAAAATGACAGATGCTTTGAGGTTTGACATTTCCAAAAGTCAGTTAGGTGTTTGAAAGGGGGTTTTACTGTTGTTTTCAAAGAAATTTTCTCCTATGGTCTCACTTTGATAAGGAACTTGGTGCAATTCTTATTTTAAATGGTTAAAAAAAAAAAATGGCAACCAGACTACAGTTTACTCTTAGTATTACCAGAGTTTAAGAAGAGAGTGTGGGAAAAGCCTGCAGCTAAGTGTGAGAGATATATCAGTGTCTGTCCAAACAAATGCCCAAAGAAATCATTCTCACAGACTTTTGAATATTAACAAAAGTAACACATGGTAATTTTGTAGTCAATAATTCGAAGGCCAATTAATATATATATTCAAATAGAATGAATTCACACAGATGAGTCATACTATTATCATCCTAATTTCTGTGTGAGTTTTTATAAGCATGTTTCCAAGGCCTCAATAGAGGCTAGATATATAAGCTAACCATAGCTCTATCAATATTAGAAATACTAAAACATTTTATTTATGCACTCAGCTTTTCCTGAAGGTCATCTATATGAGAGCACACCAATAAATGAGATACAGTTAAGTTTCCAGAGTTCACTGGATCTGTGCTAGGGTTCACATGTACAGTATGAAATCAACTTTCTTAAATAGTATAAAAACTGTAAGCTAGAGTTATCATTGCTATTCTTGATATCCCAGCTCCTGACCTGAAGATATTCCGACGGTCTCATTCACTTTCAACAAAGATAAACCAAAGTGGATTTTTAATCTGATTTTCACTTACAGACGCATTAAAAAGAGTGTTCTTTGAGTACCCCAGCTTTCTGAGGTATTATTGTAAATGTTACTGTAAAATAGATCAAAATAAACTTGTAATGCTGATTACCCGAATGACAAATGGAAAAAGGATGCACTAAAGGAGATGAGCAGGAAATTACTAGGTAAGACAGGAATGAAACTACTCTCTTTCCAAAGCTGCTCTTTTGCAGATTTCTGTGCCCCAGAAAACTATGACCAGAAAGATATGACTATGACAATTACTTAATTTTTTTCATATTAGTTCCTCTGTATTTTCAAAGATTTGATAGGGAAAACTGAAATTAATTACTTGAAATATTTTTAAAAAGTTAGCATTACCAATTAACATAGTAGGGAACTAAGATACGGCATCTATTATTTCTCTGACTTTTTTTTAAGGTAACATTGGTTTATGGCACTGTATATGACTCAGAAGTACAGACTCACACCTCTATAGATGTTCCCACACCACACCCACATCATCAAGGCACCCAGCGTTCTCCATCACAGTCCCCTGGACCCCTCCACACTCCTCTGACTTTTAACTTACCTTTGTTTTCTTACCATTTTAAGGCACATGTCTGATTTTAAGGCACATGTCTGATTATTCTTCTGTTATCATTAATTGTATTAATATTCTTAAATTGTAATGACTAAAAAAAACCTCAGGCTGCTTATTACAAAAATGAAAGCTGTTCTTTCCCTTTCATTAACTATGCCTCGCTGTGTAACACACCGCCCCATTTGTGATTCTGCCCTTTTCCCTCACACTGTGTCACATCATTCCTTAGACAAAGCCAAAGGATGCACAGTTACAGGAGATTTCAAAGCCATCAGGAGTTATCCCATAACAAGTAACAATAGTTTTTCAGTAGTGTCCTTAACACTTGTCTTCCTTCCTCTGTGTGCAATCACCTCTCAGCTTCATAGGATCAAGCTTTCAGTTAAAGCTCAGCTCAATGGAGTTGTGCCAGAGAATAAGGCACTGCGACAATGGAAAAGAGGTTACCACTATCTGCTGCTAGTGGTATGTTTTAAAAACTAAGTTAGGTTTTAAAGATGCTGTGAGAATCTATGTGGGAGCAAGCACCTTACCTGGGTTTAGCGGGTTAAAATCTCCTGAACGAGAGGTCTGTTTTTTCACATTTGAAAGTGAAGAATCAATAGGTTAGCAGTTGAAGAAGGGAGAAGGGGTCGAGAGAGGAATGTACCAGGAAGAGAGAACACGCTTAAGGTTGTGGAGCAGAGAGACATGAGGAACGTATAAAAATAAATATATTTCAATATAATTATTGAACTTATAAATAAAAATATAAAAATAATCCTGACTTGCAAGGCAGAAACAAATTAAGAGGAAAGTGTCTTTCCTCTCAGCCATCATACCCAACTAAAATCTACCTGTTAATTACCTTTTAAGTCCTTTCATTTCCTTCATCTCACTGCCTATCATTCGTCCTCAGGTATACTTTTGATAGCTGTGCTTCCACCTCAGACTTGTTTCCCTTCAATCTAATTTCTAGCAAAAACAATTTTCAGACAACACTAATCAAGTGAGTTTCCTACCAATTAAATTCTCTCCACCCAAAGGCTTCTCTCTACCCAATGTAATAACAAGACATGTCAGGACCTTTGTGATGTGCCTCCTCCTCCCTCTCAGTCACAGTTCTCAACACACACCTCCTTGCCTGAATTGTACTCAGTTCCTCGTGTCTCTCTGCTCCACAACCTTAAGCATGTTCTCTCTGCCTGGTACATTCCTCTCTCGACCCCTTCTACCTTCTTCAACTGCTAACTCCTATTGATTCTTCACTTTCAAATGTGAAAAAATAGACAACTCGTTCAGGAGATTTTAACCCACTAAACCCAGGTTAGGTGCTTCTTCCCACATAGAGTCTCAGAACATCTTGTATTTTTCTCCACTTATTACACACCGTTTATTAGCCTCCCCCAAAGACATAAAGTTCGATGGGGAAAGACACCATATCACTGTTATTTTTGCATTCATTCAAAAACCCCACACAATGCCTAGCGTCTGGTAGGTAGCACTATATATTTGTCAAAGAGTAAATGGTTAAGAAGTTGAAAGTCACTGGGCTGTTTCTCAGCCATGTTTAATACCAACAATTCTAGGGGGGATTTCCACTCAGGCCATGCCAAAACACACACAAGACAAGATAGATTCAAAATAAAATGTTTAGATACATGAATATTATTCTTAGTCTCATGAGTGGGAAAAGTTTATGAAACGTCTAAGGTATCCTTTTAGGTAGTGTATTAACATGATTTCACTAAAGGGAGAATAAAAGTAGGACACTTCCATTTGACAATGCTTTCTTTCAGCTGTGCCTCCACACTTCACTTCCCAGAGACAGGTGTAAATAAGTCAGTTTTCTTAATGTGCAAATGCAATAAATCATTATTCATTACTTTCTAAGACCTAACCTCTATTTTGAATATTAAAAAAAAATAAATTATATTATCACATAAAGCTCTGAGATTGAAATTATCATTAGTATCTCCACTTTACTGATGAAAAATTTAGGACACAGAATTTGAATCCAGATCTGACTCCAGAACTTATACTTTCAATCACAATGAAATCAACTTGTAACCTATATATCTGACTTGTAACAAACATAGTAATTCTGGAAAAATGAGAAATTTAGACTCTGCTATACATTTTCTATTAAAACCACATCTGAAATAACAATTATCTGCGAAACTTTCCGTAGGTGTAAATGCTAAGAGATTTCACCTTGTATATCAACTGGAAACAGCCTGGACTTCTTTGAATGCCAAATGAAAAGCAATTATCAATTCCATGAAAGAGTGTGAAGACAGATGAGGGTGAATGCCATGGCCCCAAAGTGGCCCCCTGTAAAGCTGATCCTGCTTGTGAATATCATAAATTTGTACCGTATTTAATTACCAGATTACCTATGTACTTATTATGGCAATGTATTTCCTGAGGAATTATTTAATGGTATTTCCTTAATATTTATTGAGGATCAATTTTTATTTGCCATATAAAATCTTCACATCTCCTGCAAAGTCAAGGATTCAAACTTGGTCCAACAGATACCTTAATGACCATTGCATAAAGTATCTCAAAGCAAATTCTTTTCCTAGTCAATATTAGTAAAAGGCTTTTTTCTCTCAATCTCTCCATTTCATCAGACAATGAGAATGATACACAATGGTTCCCTTCAGTCAAAATCAAATATGGTATTCAATTAGTGCCACAGTCATATTAGCTTAGACTTTACGCACATTTCTTTCCTCATAATTATTATTTTAAACTACAATTTCATTAGTTCAATTATATCAGTGTTATAACTTTTCAAATTTTGAAATTGGGTAGAATATAGATTATAAATGACTCAATATTTCAGGATGGGACAAGATTCAAGCATGATCATACTTAGGCTGTTAATAAATTTTCATGACTGTCAAAATAGCTTAACCTCCATCACACCAGGTCAGTTAATGTTAGAAAACTTATTCAGGAAGTCAAGGAAAATTGCATTTTACCTCTGTGTTACTAGAATTCTAGTAAGTAAAACCAATCATGTATCATTAGGAATGAAGATATATGTAGTCTTTATAGTCAACAGGCAGAAAAGTTTTAAGAGAAAACAACATACAAGCAAAGTTAAAACAGCTCTTAGAAAGTCTGTGAAAAAAATAAAAGAACAAAGAATTGAAGTAATGAGCCAATAAGCAAACTCATCCACCCTTTGATAGTCCAAAGAGATCCCATGAGCCACCTCTGAAAATCCCAGAGAGTAAGAGGTAACTAAGAAAATACATTTGTGGTAATGAAATAGAAATAGTAGAAAAGCTTTCTAATAGTGCCTTAGATGTTGTACATTTCCCTGAGAGATAAGCAAGGTACTTGCTATAAAAATACAAAATACTTAAAAAGATGTAAAGTATACAGATACATGTGTTGTGCAATTAAATACAATCTATTCAATTAAGTTTTCCAATAATATGGATTAGATTCATTAAGCAGTTTACAATGCAAACACTCTTGCTTTTGAGTCCCTCATCCTAGAATTTTATAGAACTATCTGAATACTTCTGTAAGACATTACAGAAATTTCCATAAACTACAGTGTTCTATAAAAATAATTAGCTATAAAATTTAAATTACCTCTAAAATGTAATGGTGAATAAAAATACAAGAATCTAAGATTTAGAACAAAATCTAGAGTACAGATTCAGTAAATTAAACACCACACACACACACACACACACACACACACACACACACACAGAGAAAAATGCTAATTTGGCCAAAAAAAAAAAAAAGGAAAATTGTTCATGAGAAACATGTGGTGGAAAAATTAAAAAACAGTGTAAGATATAAACTTGTAAGATTTTAAATTGAGATAACACTCATCATCTCAGCAACTTTAAACCAGCATTTAAATTACCTTACACTAACATTATAAAACAAAGACTCAGTAATCTTGTCCTATTTCTATAATACACATAAAAGATTAAATGTGGGAGGCGTAGGAGGGCAGAATACAGTAGCTATCTCTAAGTAGAAAAGGGGGAAAGGAAACAAAAAAAGGGACAGCATTAAATCTTTGTAAATACCCATAAAATTGAGGGAAATACGTTAAAAATTTTTTTCTTGAAATTAGTTTCTTTCTATACTTAATATATTCTGCATATAAAACAAAATATACCATTATAAAAATTAAGGCCATACTTATTGGACCTATTACTCAGAAATGCATTCTGAGTAGTAAAGATGAAAATTTAAATATCTACTTAGTTGACGTAAGTTTGAAGGAGGCAAAAAAACCACCAAAAGGCAAAGATATAAAAATGTTCTATTACTTAAAGCATTAAAAAATATGAGCCTATTACTGGAAAATCAAATTTAACACATATTTCAGGTAATACACTTTGCTTTTCTAACTTGTTGTATGACTTGCTTAATTAATTATTGTTGCAAACACTCGCAAAAATGAACATAGGCAAAATCTTAGTATCCCTGTTGGTCTTTCTAGACCATGTTAATTTTGGTTTTTTTGTTAAATACAAAGGAATAGAATTATGGAGAATTCAGCAGTAAGTTTTTCATTAAGATATGAATCATGCCATGAGTTCCAAAAAAGGGTTAGTTGTATAAATTTGGGAAATAATCACTCATGCAAAAATCAGAAAATACCTGTACCGAGCCACCATGTCTGTCTGCTGCAAGGTGAGCTCTCAAATGGTGGGGATTTGCCTGCTGGGAGTCCCAAGCTGCCCTGTGGTCTGCCGACTGCCATTTATTTAATGCATGTGGCATGCATGGAAGAAGAAAAACCCAATATGTTAAACATCTCATCCTCATAATATAGAAAACAAACGTATAAAAGGAATTTTAAATACCCTTACTATTCTGAATCACAGATGCAGTTATCTTTGTATATTGAAAGTGGAGATTTTAGTTAAACTGCTACAATTATGTAGTGACAAAATTTAAAAATAAAACTGTATCATAGAATTTTTAAAGTGAAAGGACTTTAGATATATCACAGATTTGCCCTGTAACTTTATTAATGACAAGTTAACAAAGAACTAGGAAGGTGAAAACAGAGTGCCCAAGAAAGCACTACAAATAATTGATGAAACTAATTTCTAATCAATGAAAAACAGTAGAGGTCCCGGACCACTGGTTTTCTTATGAGCAACTACCTGCAGCAAGAGGATAGTCCTCAAATAGCTGTACTTGGGATCCTAGAAAACTTTTCTCTTTCGCTAGTGCCCTGTTTCTGACTATGAGGATAACAGGAGAAACAGAAAAGTCATCAGAAGCGTGAGAAGGGCTATACAGAATACTATGAGGAAATGACAAACAAGACTTCGTTTGAGTGATAACCCTACACCCGTGAATCTCTGCTTCCTTGAGTTCTTCTTACCTACTTTAAATTAAAGAACCCACCTCCAAGAAATACGCTAGTAAGTCTTCATGTTTTTAGATGCCTTGATTATCTACACAGCAACAACCACAAATTAATGAGACCCTCCAAACAGAAATAGGAATAGTTGCTTAACAGGAGTCACTTTCCTAGGATTCAGAAAAATGTACATATCACGAGTAAAAAGAAAGGGGAGGAATACATTACTTCAATTTCTATTACATTTGGCTTTGCATTAGCTATTTTATATGTGTTTTCTTATTTGAGATAGGTAATATTCTCATTTCACCGTTGAAGACAGAGATGTTAAATACTTCCCTAAAAATCACAGAAGTAGCAAGTGATCTAACAGGGATTCCAACTCCAAGTGATAGCTCTTTACCACAATTCCATTTGTTCTAAACTCTTCAGTGCTCCTTTCTTTCTTACCATGAAGACAATCTGATAATGAAGCGCTAAGTATACTCATCTACAGGGAACCCAAGCATATCAATCAATGGCCAGAGCAGTAATTTGGGAGAAGGGATATTAAATTCAAATAGACATAATGATAGACATTCCATTGCGAATCCTCCTAAATTAAATAGGACAACATAAAACTACATATCCTGGAGCATTAAGTATGTCAACAAAATATTTATCTGAATTCTTATCTATTCATTAAACCCTCCAAATTCAGAACCAGAATTTAGCAGATTGGTAGCTTAAACAGAAATAAAACAGATAAAATCAAATCTAAACAGGCTAAAATTATGGCAATGATACTAAAATTAAGACAACTATCTAGGGCAACCGGCAATATTTGGGGGTCATTAACCTCTTCAAGAACACAGTAAAAGCTGCATACCCTCTTCTCAGAATAAACATTCACATGCACCCAAAACTTTTTATAAAATTTCAGGATCCACTATACTTCAGCCACTGACTTTAGATTACAAATTGTTTATCTGGGAACATTACAAAAGTTTCAGTCATTTAAAGAATTATCTTTTGCAATTGTGAACTATGAGTTTCTTATACAACTTAAAAGTGTTATTTCATAGATGTTCAAGAAATTTTTTCCAAATAGAAATTTTCTTTTTTGATGAAAGCCTACATATCCAGGTTTCAAATTCAACATATAAACTATCCTAAAAGATTTCCTTTAAAAAACTTTTAACTGCCTACATTTAGTGCAATCAGATTATCAAATAAAATATGGTTCATACTCTCATTGTAATATGGTTCATATTACAATATAGCTAGCAGGACAGGTCTGAAACATGTAGAAATTTTAAAAATATAAAATCAAAATCAACAAAAAACTATGAACCAGAGACACTTTTTGGGGGGGGGGGGGCGGGAGGGGAAGGATTGGGGTCAGAATGGGGCGTTTGCAATTGTATGGGGGAATATAAAAATAAAATTTAATATTAAAAAAAAAAAAAAAAAAGTAAAGAGCGTCAACACATAAAAAAAAAAAAATAAAGTATAATTTGATTCGACAGTATCAGGAGAGTTTCACTTATTACAATACTTAACAGCTCAAGAGAAGATTTTCAGAGAACATGAGTCACTCATCTTCCAATTATATTTGAGAAATTAACTCAACTCTGAGTGTGAACTTCTTTCAATATACAGCATCTTATCAGAGTACTAAAGCTATCAACCAGCTGTAATTTATATTTGAGGGAATTTATATATAAGACTCTTTATTGTCCTGATTTTTCTAGGTAAAATTCTGAAACTAATCTTTTCAAATTAGATGAACCTAAAAGCAAGATGTAGCTAAACAGCTCCAAAATGTAGCATTGTTCTATAATGATTTTTAGTAAGTGTGTTCTTTCCTTCAATTTTCATCTTTGATATAACCCTCACTTGAACTGACGGTATAAAAATTGTAAAAGTAAAAAAGATAAGACACTATCATTCTCCAAAAAGGGTTTTAACTAAAAATTTAAAGTACTGCTTAACTCAGGATGAAAGGAAAAAATTTTTATGTCAAAGGTAGTCTTAATAAAGCTTCTTTTTACAAGAAAGTAAAAAAAAAAAAAAAAAATTGTCAAAATGTCAACATTTTTCCAATACTTTACCCAGGAACCACAAATTCTTCACTGTCCCCAAGGGCATATGTGTCCTGAACCTGCTCTGCTCCAACTCTACCTACTGTCTGTTCTAAGCAAACTGAACTGCTAGGCCGCAAACAAATCTTACATTTTAAAACTTGTTCCACATTTTATACTGTTCACTCTCCCCCAAAGTGCCCTTAGTCCTTCATCTGCCTTTAAAAATTCCATCCATTCTTCTGCACATCTCAAAGGCCATATTCTCCATAAAATCTTTATAGATCTCCACATATTCCAAGATCCTCCATCCCACTTTATTATTATGTTCCATGAGACACAGCTTACTTTGCTTTATAAAGTAGTGTTTGTGTGTTCACTGTAATAATCATGACAATAGTTATACTAGCCATGAGACTTAACGTTTACAGAAACCTTATTATATGCTTTAGATTTTAGCATGCATTATTTCTATATTAAACATGAGAGAGATGTTTCAAGAGATTTTTCCAGGGTCAAGCCACATCCAGGTATGTCTGATTCCAGACACTAAGTGGGCTTTTAGTCACTTGGTACGAAAACATTTCTTATAGGTTATACAGTTTTCCTTACCTCTGCATTTCTGCAATGTTAAGAGTAGCTCTCAACTCACAGAAATTCAGTAAATAATTTACTGAACTAAACTACAGTTAGAAAGATCAACTGTCCCAACAGTTATTCCAACAGGGTACACAAATACTTCCATTCTAACAATATCAAATACTGCTCAAAGTTTATACTAATTATATCACTAATTAGGAATTTACAATTAAACATTTTTAATATTATCATAAGCTAACAGTAAACATGAGGGAAATAGTCTATCTATTAAAATATATGTGTTTTTCAATCCTTATTCTGTCTATGTATATCTGATCTTTTTTAATCTATCGAAGAAAATATATGTATTTCAATCCTTCAATATGTTTATACATATGTATGTGTATACTCACACACATTCATATACACCCACACAAAGGGTGTCATCTGTGCAAGGTAAAACACCAAACATATTTATAAACTCTAAGAAGGTAATAGAGAAGCAAATTAAGACATTTCATATCCTAGAGGGCAGCAAACCTGGTTTTTGGATTGTTGCATTTTATCTCTGTGTTGATGTGCTTCTCTGTTCGATGACAAAGCAGGATCTTGCTGAACTGCACCCACTGGAGTAGGCTACAATAAAATTAACAATTAACATTAGTATATAATATTTCAGAAATCTTATTTAAAATTACTGAGCTGCTTAGAAGAACAAAGGCAATAAAAAACAATGTTAAAGAGCTTAGGAAAAGATATTCTCAAAGGTTGCTAAAGCTAACAAACTTAAAGCAGAGAACAACTACTTTTTACTGTGTTTTCAAAATATTTGTCCACTTTGTCAACTATTGGTTTGTAGCAAAAAAAGACCTACTTGTCATTACTTTCACGTTACTATTTCAAATGAAAAAAAGAAAAGAAAGCATATCTGTTTATGTTGCTCATTAACAAAACTAATACATAATTGTAAAAAAATTATTAGTGAAGAGCAACCACCTCACAATTATAATCAAGACCTTCTTTGTAAGACATAACTTCAGTGGTTCTAAAAGCTAAATAAACATGCTCCAAGCAATAAATGCCAATTCCAAAAGATAACCTAAAACTACCAAAATAATTAAGACAATTTTAAAATTATGTTTTGAAAGATGGCAGAACTAATTTTTTAAATTTTTTTTTAATATTTTATTTTATATAATTCTTACATCATATTTCATTTTTACACAATGTATGCATTATCATTTTGGTTATATTCCCCATACAACTGCACCCCCCCTTATTTTGACCCTAGTCCTTCCTCTCCCCTTCCCTCCCCATCCCCCTGTGGTTTGTCTCTGGTTTATAGTTGCTTGTTGATTTTGATTTTTACTTTGTATTCATTAGTCTTTTTCCTGGTCCCTTATTTAGGTTTTCTAAATTCCTGCTTTGCGTGAGACCATCCAGTATTTTTCTTTTTCTTTCTGGCTTATTTCGCTGAGCATGATCCCTTCTAGCACCATCCATGTTGCTGCAAACTGCATGTGTTTATCTTTTTTTGATAGCTGAGTAACATTCCATCGTGTATATGTACATCTTCTTGATCCAGTCATCTATTTTTGGGCATTTGGGTTGTTTCCAAAGCTTAGCTATTGTAAATAGTGCTGCTATAAACATAGGGGTGCAGGTGCCCTTTGGAATTAATGTTTCTGTGTCCTTTGGGTAAATACCTAGGAGTGGAATTGCTGGATCCTATGGAAGCTCTATCTTTAGTAAGTCAAGAAATCTCCACACAGCTCTCCATAGTGGTTGGACCAGTTTGCACTCCCACCAGCAATGCAGGAGAGTTCCTTTTTCTCCACAACCTCGCCAATATTTGTTGCTGCTAGTTTTTTTAATAGGTGATGGTGGAACTAATTATAAAAACAAGCTAGCTGCTCTTTTTAATCACTAAAATATTATACAAAAAAGGTGTATCTCATATTAAAAAGTAGGAATGAAAGTTCAAACACTCAACATTCTAAAATAAGCAGAGTCCAAATACAAGGCTTTTGCAAAATTCACAGAAAAATTTTAGTGTTCTGCTACATGAAATATTTATAAAACAGAATAAAATGAACACCTTAAAAAGAATGTTTTGTTTTCAACTCTTTTCAGTTGAAGACTCTATACTGTGAAAAGAAGTACCACAACTAATCTTTTATTATATAACATAGAGTACTCACCAACTGTTTACCAATCCAGTCATATTCATAATCAAACATATATCCTTTTCGATCAAACAAATCAGTAAAAAGCTTTCTTAGGTAGTCATAGTCTGGTTTTTCAAAAAAATCCAGCCTTCTTACATAACGAAGGTATGTTGCCATTTCTTCTAGAAAAGAAATAAAAATATTCTATTTTCCTATATACACAATAATAGAGCTATTTAAATGTCTAAAAAGCACATATTGTAAGAACAAACAGAAATAGCATTTTATTACAATTTTAAAACTTTATTCATTTTATTACAATGAAATACAAGGGAGAAAGAAGGGAAGACAGGAGAAAAGGACAAAGATATTAAATAAAATGTTTAATATTAATAATTATAATTAATTGCATACTGTATATTAATATTTTGTTAATAAAATATTTAACAAATATTAAATAAAAGATTTTTGTTCCTTTTCATTAGGGAAGCCAAAAATTTTCATTTTTCAATAGAAATCTTGGGTAGTATGAGAGGTGAAATTAGCAATTCCACTGAATCAGCAAGTACCATATTCAACTCACAAATTTGAAAATTAATCAAAATATTGGTGGGAACTGATTAACATGAATGCATTTGCACTACCTTGCTGCAATTCCTTTAGAATAATTGAACTAAACTGATTGATACACAATTCACATCCCCAATCTTTGCTCTGACAATTATTCTAACCAACAGACCTAGCAAAATAAAGCTAACAGATCTATGAAATATAACACAGAAGTAAAGTTTAATTCTTCTCTTAATTTACAATTAACAATTATTTGACAATATACATCTCTACAATTTCCAACTGCATTAGAAAAACAGACATTTTTAAAAGGTCATACTTTCCAGAGGAAGAAGTCATAAAAATCAACTAGCAAAATGGTGAGCAATTAGAAAAACAGTTTTTCACTATCAGGGCAGAGAAAAGCTCTATAATAAAAGATGGTAGGTTACAGTCTAGCTGCTTTTCTGAGCCAATTCACTCATGACAACCAGTAAGAAAAGGATCATACACAGCCCACTGGGCAATGAAAATGATACCTGGTAACCTTCCTCATATGGTGACTCGCCCATTATTCCACTTCTCACAAATCACCAGGTTAATTTACTTTGGTACCCCAAGTTTCCTTGCAGAAATGTCTACAGGATTCTTAATAACATGTGTAAAGCCAGTACCCCCAGCTCTGAGAGCCTGGCCATCAAGGAGCATTCCCTGACTGGCAAACACAAAAAGTGGAACATCAGGTGTAAAAGCTGCGGTATCAGACACATTGAAGAGCTCCCTTCCTGCTGGGAGATGCTGGTACTCTGGAGAAGGCAGAGAAAGAGCAAGAAGGTAGCGCCCTCCAGAGGTCAGTGGAAAGGTTTACAGTCAGTCTGTAGACAAGTTTTTATTTAGATGTATTTCCCACAGGCTGCAGGTGTTGAAAATGAGCTAACAGAAAGACTGACTCCTGAGTCTATTACCTGAAGTTACGACCTAAAGGTGGTAGCTATTTAAGACCTCTTTCTCTTTCAGTTATAGTCCTGTGGGACTACAGGCATAAATCCCACTGGCCACCAGAGCCAGACAACACAGAGGCTCACATTAGCCAAAACTGTAGCCCCAGACAAGATTATAAGCTCTTTCAGGAAGATGCTGGCAAACAGAGAAAAAGTGCAAAGACTGCATTCATCAGCCTCTGCTCCTGAGAGCACCTCCACAGGCTTCCTGAAGTGTGCCAAAACAGAAGGCTGACCCTTCTGGAGAAGCAAACAGGCCTCTTTCTCAGAAAGTAGTATGTTTCAGTCTGCTATATCTATGCAGTGAACTGCAAGTAGTATTCTCTCAAAAACTGTATCTCTGTTAGTCCTGTGGGATCTGGGAATGCAAGCCCATGTGACCTCCAGAATAGGTGGTCATGGGGCTTTTCCTATGCATATACTGCTGATATTATTATAATAATGAGGCCACAATGTACAAGAGAACCTGTGAACACAAAAGTGAGATACCAACTCAGTCTTCTAGAATCTAGTTCAGTTCTCTTTTCACTTAACATTATTATACAATTCACAGCAAGGATTTTAATAATCAGCAACACATTCTATTTTTTATTTGATTTAGAATCTTAAGTAAATTTTTGTTGGCTTAATTTCAAAAAATATAAATAAAAGCAAAACTATTTTCATAAATTTTCTCAATATAAAAGTAGCCTAAAAGCAGAAAGGCCAGTAAGATTTTTACTGTATTTTGAAAACCACACTAAATCTGGTATCATCTCTCTCCTTTAACTTTGACAGAGACTCAAATAATTAACAATGTACATCAAAACCTTATAGTTAGTATTTCTTAGCAAATATTTTAACTTACTAAAAGTTGGGTCATATAAGAAAATACTACTTTAGCTGGTACTGATCAACACTACTAAATATGAAATTTTGTTCTGGTAACATCTTACCAAAAAATATACAAATTGCTGTGATATCTGTACATCAAATGCTGACATCTTTTAAACAGTATATTGAGATCATCCCTTAGAAGCATGAAAAAATGTATTTATAAACCAAAGCAATGGATATTAAAAGTTCTGATTTTCTGTGTACAGGCACACATACCAAGGTAGCATTATACATTACCTGGAAAATTTTCACATAACACTTCTATTGGTGTGGCTCGTTTTGTATCTCCAATTTTCTGATACCTCTCTTTTAATGTATCGGCCTAAAAGAAAGAAAATAATCTTGAGAGGAGAAAAAAATTTTAGAGTTAAATACTTGGAAGAAAGGTTCTTAAAAGATTAAGAGTTTACAAAAGTTGATAAAGAAAAGCAAAAACTATTACCTTTAAACCTTGCCAAGGAAGACTGCCTCTCAGAAAATACATGAACATATGACCTAAAGCTTCTAGGTCATCTCTTCTACTCTGTTCTGAAACAGAAGAGAAACATGAATATCACTTTCCTCTCCTTGTTAAAGATATAAGAATGGAGAACTGATTCATTATATATATAGTAATTCTTGACAGTTCAACAGAACTATGGCCTATGTGACAAAATCACATCCAGTTAAACTGCAATATTTTTACATTAACATTATCAAGCATCTTTAAAATATCACATTGTTTTTAAAAATACTTCTAGGGATTTAGTCCCCTCCTTAGATATCTACACATAGAAACAAGGCAAGGGGTGAGGGGTTTCATGGTGAAATAGTCACTGACCATCCTCCTTCTCTTCCTTTGGGAGAGTACAAGGGAAAGAACATGGTCTGGCAATCTAAATGACTTCCTTTTTAAAAAAAACAAACAGCAGCAGCCAGTCACTATGTTCTATATCTGTTTTAAAGACTAGGTATGTAACATTAAAGCTACAGAGTTTACAGTATCTAACTTCATTTAACCCTGTAGCTCCTAAACATATGAGCATAAAACTCCCATCCCATATCCTCTTGTTAAACACAATTAGTGTTTTGCATAATATACATTTTTATACACTTGTATTTGACACATCCCAACATTATAACTCCTCTACCACCACCAAAATATGCTACTAGAACAAATTGCCACTTTCAAGTTGTTATTTTAGTAACAAAATGTTATAGAGCACAGGAGTGAGTGACACAGACTAAGAGAGTAGGGTGGTACTTAAATAAATGTTTGTTGCTAAGTGAAATTTTTTTCAATTTTTTTTAATGAAATTAAACAAAAAATGCTGACTAATAGGAAAAAAAACTTATAATAAGAGGGCATTATTGTATAAGATCTTTTATCTAAAAAAATGGTAATAGCTCAAATAGCTCAATAGTGCTAAACACTTTTAAAAAACAAACTTTTCAAAGCATGCTCCAAAATAAGGAGAAAGTCAGAAGTGGTTTTAATTTTCACTATGCATGCTCATGCCTTTCTAAAATTGTTTTCTGTGACACTTGCTAGAGTTTAAATATATACATTTCTGCTATTATTTAACCAATAGCTATCCTCCCACCAGACAGCAAGTCACAAAAGGGCAGATGTCTTTTGGCTCCCTATCCCCAGAATCTCATGTAATGGCTACCACAGAGCAGGCATTCAACATATACTATTTGCATATATAAATGAATAGTTGAAAATATGTAATAACAGATATGTGTCCTTTTTTTAACAAGCTGAGGAAATTATCTAGAATAGAAATCAAATCATTAGTTAATCGGGATGTGAAGCTGGAGGACTGGAGAGGTCATTTCAATTTCTCATTTCATATACTCAAAAATGAAATATAATGGGAAATTTTTCCTTTTTTCTTGTATTTTATAACAACATAAACATATCTATTAAAATATGCTTTTAAAATAAAGTTCTTTTTAAAACTATTAATGAAAGTAGAAATGTGAATGGCAAAAATATCTATAATGCCTTTTACAACTTGATTAAAATTATAGTATTTCATTACATATTATATTATGGGAGTCTTAAGAATGAAATGCCATGCAAAGAAAAAATATTATTTCTGAAGTTGGCTGATAACCAGAATCAACTCTAAAATGTTTCAAAACCTAAGATGACTAGGCCTAATATTAGAGATTGACTATTTCTTCCTCCATTAAATTACTTTTGCACCACATTCAAACGTCAATTGAATATCTATATTCCTACCCATTTATCTATGTCTATAGGTAAATTTCAGAATCCTATATTCTTATCCATTTATCTATGTCTAAGACAACACCATCCAAAATAAGTAGAAAAAAAGATAAATGTGGAAAACATTGACAAGATTATCCTAAAATAGAAATGAAAGTCCAGATGGAGTTGCTAGTGAACGCTATTGAATGATAAAGAAGCAGTAACAATTCCACACACATGCAGGAAATAAGGGACCCCTCCCCAACTCTCATCAAACAAATAATCAAAGGATACATCTTCATTTTGACAAAAGATATATATAAAAAACCTACAATAAAAATGATTCTTAGGTGCCTAAAAGCACTCCTAAAATCAGGAACAAAATAAGAGTGCTCATCCTTACATTTTCTATTCAATGTTGACCATAAGTTCTCAGGGAAAAAAGGGAGGCAATAAAAAAATTAAAAGATTAAAAGAGATGAGATGATTCAAGTAAGTAAAGGGGGGGAAAGTTTTCAGAGAAAACTCAGTACATGTATTCTATTCCTAAAGAAGTTCTCTTGAGGGCCTCCTGGTGGCCTAGGGGTTAAGTCTCAGTGCTATCACCACTACTGCCTGAGTTCCATGCCCAGCCAGGGAGCTGACCCACATAAGGCGCAGCAGGCCTCTCTCCTGCCTCGCCCGCTGCTCCCTTCAGCAGTGTATTTAAGTAGATCCACCTGTCCTGCTCCCCACTCTGTCTCTGGTGAATCCTCACTCATTCACCCCTGCCCCACACACCTCTGGCCTACACCCTAGTTCTTCTACACAAAAATAAATAAAAATTCTTAAAAAAAGAAGTTCTCTTGAAATCTAGTTCAAATTTAGCTATAATCCCAGTAACTCTGATGATCAGGTTAAAATGTAGTGAAAGAAAAGTACAATGCTACCAAAAGCAGTGTTCTACACACAGTAACATAAAGTCAAAATTAGTTGAAAACAGAAAAATCGAATAAAAATACACTACTTCAAGACTTTCTATAAGCTACAGTAATCCAGACAATGTGGTATTACTGAAAGACTAGATAACAGATCAACAGACAGAATAGAGTTCAGAAATAGACTCATAAGCATCATTAACAGACCTTTGCCAAAGGAGTAAAGGCAATGCAATGCAACAAGATAAATCTTCAGAAAAGTGATACAGGAAGAACTAGACATCCAAGAAATAGACCTTATACCTTGCATACAAATTAACTAAAAATGTATCCCAGATGGTCTTCAGGAAATACACCTTAAATGAGACACAACTACAGTACTTTTCAGAATGGCTGAAAGTTCTAATAGTGACAGTATCAGAAGCTGGTGAGAACGTAGAACAACAGACACACTCATTATTGGTGGGAATGCAAAATGGTACTGACACTTTGGAGGACAAATGGGTGGTTACTTACAAAACTAAATATATTCAATATATGATCCAGCAGTCATACTCCTTGGTATTAACCTAAAGGAGCTGAAAACTTATGTCCACAAAAAGCCCTACACATGTGTATAGCAGCTTTATTCATAATGATCAAAACCTGAAAGCAACCAAAATGTTCTTCAGCAGGTAAATGGATAGAATGTGATACAATCTGACAATAGAATAAATGCAGCATTAAAAATAATGAATTATCAAGCCATGACAAAACATTAAAGAAACTTAAATGCACATTTCTCAGTGAAAGAAACCAATCCAAAAAAAGCTACATAGTATATGATTCCAATGATGTAACATCAGTAAAAGACAAAACTGTCTACGGAAGAATAAAAAGATCAATGGCCGCCAGGGCTTACACGAAGAGGGGGATAATTAGGTAATACACAGAGGATGCTTAGGCAAGGGAAACTACTCTGTATGATTCTATAATGGAGGCTACATGGCATTATGTGATAATGATGTGTCACTGTAGATTCATAGTTATAACAAATGTGCTCCTTTGGTAAGGGATATTGATGGGATGGACAATGCATGTGAGGGGTATAAAGGAAATGTCTATCTTATTTCTACTTTTCCTGTGAATTTGAAACTGCTCTAAAAATATCATCTATTTTAAAAAATACACTGCTAGTTAAACAGCATTACCTCTAAATTTACTCAGGTAAATATTTTAAAAGTTTCCAACTTACTTTGAAAGCCTGAAACATCAAGAAAATACCAGTTATGTTCACCATACTTTAAGGAAGCAATGAACTGTGCAATACATTTTTAAACTGTTAAAAAGCTGTTCGGGAAGCTCAAAGAGCACGCTTCAAGAACATGGTCAATCGGGGCCTCCCTGGTGGCACAAGGGGTTAAGCACTGCACTATGAAGCAATCCGCAGCCTCTGCAGCATGAGTTTCATCCCCAGCCGGCTGGCCAGAGAGCAACCCACATGGCGCAGCAGACCTCTCCTGACTCGCCCGCTGCTCCCCTCAGCAGTGTACTTTGGCCAATCTGCCTGTTCTGTTCCCCGCTCTGTTTCTGGTGAATCCTCTCACCCCACCCCCTGCATCTCTGGCCTGTACCCCAGCTCTTGTATGCATTAATAAATAAATCTTTAAAAAAAAAAGAACATGGTCAATTAGCCTAGAAATTATATGAATCAAAAAAAAAAAAAAAGAAATTATATGAATCACATCACAGTATAACACTGAAAGAAGGCACTTTGGTAACACTAAATTTTTGTAATTCTTTTTTCTCCTATTCAGAAAACTTACTGTTAAAGGTTTAAAATATCATACTCCTATGGAACACAAGTTTTGTTGTTTTTTTTTTAACACTTAGAAGCAACTGGCAACTAATTCCTTGACTCCTAGTCTTTATTCAGTCAATAAAGTTATTGAATAATAACTTTAAAATAAAAAAAACAACTATTTCCAGAGCACTTGTCAGAGAAAAATAGTATTTAATTATAAAAGACTTCAATAACTTATAAGAGGTGTTTCAAAGGAAGAGTACAAAATGAAGCTCAAAGGAGTTGACAAAAAGTCTTCAAAAATTAAAGACACTTGAACAATTAAAAATAATTCAATATGACTAAGGAAAAGAAATTTCCCAATAAAGTAGAACAAGGAAATTCACATCTGTCACACACAGTTTTAAGATTTCAACTAGACCAGTGAAACTTAAGCAGGTATAAGAAAGGTATACAAATGACTTACCACATCTACTTTCTAAACAGAAATCACCTAGTTGTAAGATCAATAAATGCATGCCACAGGAATACAGATGCTAAATTGTACAATGTGATTTTATACTACTTTATATATTGCTTACATTAGAAACACCTTTTTCCTTTTTAAATCTGATATGGTGTAGTTCCCACAAAGGAAAAGTACTCATGAATCTGTACAATATTCCTCTTACCCAATTCTCTATTTTGAAAAGTTCCAGTGAGGAAAAAGTCCTTGAATATGACAGAGAGAGAGGGAGAGAAAGAGGGAGAGACAGGTAGACAGACAGACAGACACACAAAGAGCAAGCAAGCAAAGAGGCTTTAAAAGAGTTCACTAAGGTCTAGGCAAAGCAGGGAAGGAAGACATTACAAAATTATATATACACAAATTAAAATCACCGCTAAAAGGTCACATTTTCACTGTTCTTTTTCTTTTTTATCTCTTCCTGACTCACAAAACCAAATGCTCTAAATTCAAAATATCACTAAATACTCCATGTTCACAGCTATCTTAAACTCATCAAATAACTTAACTCAAACTCACATTACTTTAGCTTACTCTTTTTTTTTTTTTAAATAGGAACACATGAAGTCTGGCAAACAAACTTTCTCTCTGCTAATATCACCCAATAATCCCAAGTTCTATATTAAAATGGAAGCAGGGCTTTTATGAATTGGAAAAAGTAGGAACTAATACTCTTTTGTTGTCTGCAATACTTGCCAAAGAAATAATTTGGTTTCTCCCCAAAAGAAGAGTGAAAAGAGATTATTGCAACAGTTAAACACCATTTCCCAAAGTCTTGAGATTTTTCCTGAAAGCTCTGAATATTTTCCTAAAAAGGACAAACACAGAAGACTCATTCTGCCACTTCTACAAATAGGAAGTTGTTACGTTTACCATTGTTCAAAGACAGAACAGTAGGTCATAAGGAAGTTGTGACTTCATTTCTTGTAATAAAATGGTGGTGAACTTTTGTTAGTTGTTATAAAATAGTCTATTAACTGCCGTGAAATGAAAATTTGTCAGACATGATCATATAAATACAGATATGCCTGGTTTCAATGAAAGACACAATCCTGAAAGATGTATTTCTTTTTCTTTTTTTTGAAAGATGTATTTCTACCAAATCATATTTTAGATGAGAAAGTTTGCTACTGAAATATTACCTGAATACAAGTTGTGTTTTATAATTTTGGATGTTTGAAACTTACTTTTCTTAAAGAAAGGAAAATGTACATTTTTCAGGGACTTAAGACAAATGAAAAGACAAAAACACCACAAGCCTGCATGAAGGAGGCTGTTGGAAGAGATGTCAAGTGCTATTTAATTCTAAGTGAGAGGAGGAAGAACACAACAGCATGTAACTTTGGAAAGAATGGTAAGAGAAGAAGCTTAAGACCTGGTTTGAAGGTTGGGTTAGAAGACTTCTAATATTCTGTACAAATTTGTGATTGCATATTATAAGATACTTTTGAGCAGGTTTACATTCTTCTCCTACTCTCCCTTTAGCGTGAGATGTTATAAAATAGAATCTACAAGCAGAAAATTAAATTTGATTTCCTTTCATATGGAAACTACCCATGACTTAAGAATAAACTAGCAAATGTAACTTAGAACTGATTTTAGAAAGACACAAAGTAATTCAATGGAAGAGAATAAGATATAACAAAAGAACCTCAAGCTCTATCTCACAGCACAAAAAAAAATTAATTCTAGAAAGTAGAAAACATAAAACATCTTATTACATGGAGATAAAGATCTCTTAGTATACAAAAAGTAGAAACCCTAAAGGAAAAAGTAGATAATTAGATTATATAAACTTTTACAACTTTTCCTTATCAACTGATGCCATTAAGAAAATGACAAGGCAAGAAACAAACTAGAGAAAATTTTCAGAGCATATATATGACACTACCCAAATATACAACTATCTCCAGACTATACGGAATTCCTAAAAATCAACAAATGCACACTACACAAAACAAGGTAACTAAAACAAGGTAAATAAATACATTAAACCGTGCTTAAAATCTTTAATCACACCAAAAAAAGTCTCACTACAGTGCCACTAACTGACTGATCAAAGTTTGGTTTCTATATACTGTTGTCCATTTAAAGGACCCAAGAGTTCTTGGAAAAAGGTCAGTGGCCAAATCAGACAAACTACAAGAAGAACCTGGAAAAACTTGCTGCACAGGTTCTCTAAGAATCATGAGAAGATACCAAAAGGGCAGTCAGCATGGAGGTAAATCCAAGACCACTTTAGCATCAAAATAAATAATGACAACAATATATTATAATACCTTCAATAAGAATCTATGAGTTCACACTGATATAAGAAAATAAACAGGGAAGAAGGGAAAGTTCTGGCTTACGTAAGACTATCAACTATTAAATACATGCAGGATGATGGAGACAAACAAATCATCAATGGATACTAAATCTAGTGGGCAAAAATGTGATAAAGAGCAGCATATTCAATTTCAAAAATCTACTTATAAAATACTTTTTTAAATACAAATGTAAAATAAGAAACTTTCAAGTGGAGAAACTTTTAGTAGACACTATCTAAAGGAAGTGATAAAAGCTATTCCAGACACAATGCACTAGAAATCTATCATGCCTATATTTATGGAAAAAATGCATACAAATATAATCATTAAGAGCTATCACACAGGGGCCTTCCAGATGGCCTGGGTTAAGTCTCAGCACACCACTACTGCCTGAGTTTGAACCCCGGCCAGGGACCTGACCCACATATGCCACAGCAGACCTCTCCTGTCTCACCCGCTGCTCCCCTCAGCAGTGTATTTCAATAAGTCCTCCTGTTCTGCTCCCCGCTCTATTTCTGGTGATTCCTCTCACCCCCTGTACCTCTGGCCTACACCCCAATTCTTCTAGAAAAAAAAAAAGATACCCAAATTGAGGACACTCTACAAAATAGCCTGTAGCCCAAAAAAAAAAAAAAAAAAAAGTTAAGAAACTATATAAAAATGAAGACAAGTAGCTGTTACAGAAGAAAAGAAACTGAAGAGATAAGACAAGTAATTGTGTGACCCAAGGGGAAAGGGGACAGAGAGATAACAAAAGAACCTCAAGCTCTATCTCACAGCACACAAAAAAATTAATAGGGGGAGTAGGAGTCCTCTGAAGTTAATATTTTACTCTTCTTTCAAATAAGGATCCCCTTAAAAAGGTTAAATAATTTGCCCAAAGTCATATCAGTAATACACAGTAAACAGTACCTCTAAGCATTAAACTGACTAGTCAATTGCTATCTCCCTGGCTAGCTATATAAGAAAGACAAAGGCGGCTTCAAACATCTGAAAACACAGTAATTAGATAAACTTAAGTGTACTCGCACACTCCTTTTTTTTTTGGGGGGTGGGATTTTGAAGGTAATTTTATTCAATTATATTAGATCTTTTTTCAATTTTGGAACTAATCAGGAATTAGGTACAAAGTAATCATTTACATAATTATTTTTATTTCTTTTTCTGACATTTTTCAGTTAAGGTTTACAACACTGTATGTTATTCAGAAATACATGATCCACCTTTTCAGGTATATGTTACCATACCACACCCACCACCAATATACTCATATAAATTAAATGATGACCCCAGCCCTATCAAAGTTGGACATATCAAGTTATCACGTAAAAAAATACATATATAGTAAATGTAAGAATATCTGTTATTCATTTACTGTAAAACAAGTTACTTTGAGTTTGATTAAATATAAACCATAGTAAGTTCAAGTCTGTTATGACCAAAGAAAATTACAAAAGTAACTGTAACCTGCAGAAACAATAAATAAAAACTCACAAAGCTAGCCTAGTTTCTGAATTCAAATTCCCGTACTTATATAAAGTACACACATACCTTTTCCTAAATGTGTGTTTATGCTCATGTATCTTGCTGTTCCTGTAAGGCTCTTGTGTTCTCTGTATGGTATGTGTTTCTTTGTCTCTGGATCAATATATTCCTTTGCCAAACCAAAATCTATAATATGAATAACTTGCTGGGTTTTGTTTCCTGGTCTTCCTATTAAAAAGTTCTCAGGTTTTACATCTCTGTATATCAAGTTCTTTGAATGGACATATTCCATACGGGAGATCTTGATTAAAAAAAAAAAAAAAATGACAAATTCATTGTTAGGCTTTGACTAGCATAAAAAAGCATGATAGCAACAAGATAGAATTTTCACAATGAAAACACAAAAATTTAGGAATTGTTTCAATTCTTTAAAAGTAGTATGATAAATGCTAAGTCTATAGCTTCTCTACTGTATATTCAATTATTATTTTAAAATCTTCATTTTTATTATTATGGCCTCTTATAAATGAAAGTGTTTGAATTTCATGAACTCCTTTCATTTAATCAGTAACCCTGGCTCATTCAACACTTTCAGATGACTCTAACTTATAAAATTAACAAGGCTTATTATATTAAATGTTAATCTTGCTTGAATTAGCAAGATTCAAAATTTTGAACCCAAGTGTCAACACACATACTGATAAAGTTGCAGTTTATTCTTTCTTATCAGTTCAATAATCAAGGAGCTTTTACAATTATATCAAAGAAACAGAATCTAAAGTGTAAAATAGAAAACATTCCATAAAACTTGTCTAGCTTTTTCTTTTTTATAACTTCTTTGTTTACTTTTTCTGTATGTGTCCAAAAAATTGAAAAAGCACTTGAAACTAAACAACCTTTAAATCCAACTCTATAATAAAATAGTACATTTTCATTAACTGTTTTATACATTCTTAAATAATGTCCATTGTACAAATCACAACAGAACACTACAAAATAATAAAATTGCTTCATTTCATGGCTGTCAGCTAATGTAACATAGAGTCATTCAGGCCAATATAGTTTGTGAAAAATTTTTGGATCATATATAATTTATAATATATAACAATTTGCATGACTTTTAATTAGTGATACAAGCATTTTCCAGATCATAAAACACTCTCATACACATTTTTTAATGGCTATAAATTATTTTCTGGCTATTAATAATTTAACCAACTAACCCTGCTATTTCTACACATTTGGATTTTTTCCCACTTGTTAAATTATAAACATCCTTGCACAAAAAGCTTTACGTACATCTGAATATTTCCACAGAATTTGCAGAATTAATGAGTCAGTATATAAAAACATTAAGACTTCTGCCACCCACATTCCTATTGGTATTTACTTCAACACTGTCCTAAAAATCATCCTCTAGTTTCCCTTTAGTTTCCTGTAGTTTAAATAATTTATAACACTCTCTCATTAGTTTATTTCTTCTTTTTCTAGGCTATTAAAATTTATTACCAAGATTAAGAACTGTGTTTCTGAGGGTTTTCTTTCTAAGTATTCATCTTCTACATGACAAGGATGTGGAAACAACTTAATTCTCAAACTAAACATTCTGATCTTAGAGTTAGAAAGATACCAATTCTTTCAGACAAATAAAACAAACTTGATTCAGTTTTTAAGTTACATGAATATGAAAAAGACAATGATACTAAAAGTAGGAACATTTTTATTAGGCTGAATGCTCTGTAAGATCATGTAAAACTTGAAACCTTTGATATAAATTTGTGTCCAAACAAACCATGAAATTTTTCAATTTCAAAGCATCCTGGTTTTACTTACCAACTGGATAGCTATCATGAGAACTGTTTTAAGGGAAAATGTTCTGTCACATAAGTCAAACAAGTCTTCCAAACTAGGTCCCAGCAGTTCCAGCACCATAGCGTTGTATTTACCACAAGGGCCAAAATAGTAAACTTGAGGTATACCATCTGGGGGTAAGGAAAAAGAATTTTAATAATATCATCATGTTACATACCAAACTTTTCATCTGAGAAAAATCAATGTTTTTTTTTAATTTTGCAGTTTCAGTAATTTTTTCCCTTTTTGCCATATATACAATAAATTTTTCCTGATCCAACCCTCCCGCCCTATACCTTCTCGCTAATGTCCACAGGACAGTCTGGTTACCCCTGTACTGCATTCTATACACTGCTTCACTGGTGGTCTCCATCACGCCAGCACAGAGAAGAATTGGGCATGTGAACCTTACCTTTCTGTGGCCTAGAGATACACCTGGCGCACAGGAAAGATTACACTTCTATTGAACAAAGGAGCCACTGCTCTCTTTAATAAACCGGTGGTATGCATATTGCCAAGATCACTGTACAACCTTCATATGCAAAGGTGCACAAACCCTATACCATCTCTCCTTTAAATGTAATCAAGATATCCAGATATTACTTGCAGAATTATTTTATGTTACGGGCCAATGGTGATATCATTGAGGTCCCATCAGTGGCCTTACATTAATCCAAAGGAAAACTGTTCAAGTGGATGGGCCTAACCTAAACAGGGATCCCTTTATAATAAGTCTAGAGGGACTCCCTGGTGCCACAGGGGGTTAAGTCTCAGCACTATCAAGCTATCAGCAGCCACTGCAGCACAAGTCCGATGCCCAGTCAGGAAGGAGACGCACAAGGCACAGCAAACCTCTCCTGTTTCACCCACTGCTCCCCTCAGCAGTGTATTTTAGTCAATCATCCTGTTCTGCTCCCCACTCTGTCTCTGGTGAATCCTCTCCCCCCCTGCACCTCTGGCCTGTACCCCAGCTCTTGTATGCATAAATAAATAAATCTTTAAAAAAAAAAAACATTAAAAAGTCTAGAAATCAGGGATATTTGAAGTCTTTAAAAATGCAAACTATGTTGTGGAGAGAAACACATGCCAGAGAATGGTGCTCAGGCCTACTGCCATGAGGAAGTGAACTGTGGAGATAACCAGTACGCCTGGAAGTGAAGAAGAGCACTCTAAGCCTCAGATAAGACTACACGCCAGGGAGACTCCTTGATTTCAGCTTGTCAAGACCTTCAGCAAAGAACCCAGATAAGTCATGCCTGGACTCCTGACCCACAGAAATTGGGAGATATAAATTCTCTTTTCTATGCCACTTATTACTAAAAAATGCATTATTCAATAATACCAAATAATATAAACTCCCAATATAAAGTCTAAATGCAAAGACGTCATCACTGTACTATTAGAACCGACTCCTAACAGACATATAATAGGTGATCAATTTACCTTAATATTACATTTACCTATTTATTTATCATGAGGAAATGAATTTTTTCTCTCTTTAAAGTCTTAGTTTTACTTCCAGGTGATTTTTTTTAACATAATTTTAGAAGGGAAAATAATCTTTCTAAAATAAATAAAGTCTTTATATTCCTTTTATAGGAGTTTGAAGACCATAATTTCCTTTTTGTTGTTTATTCTCTAAGTTCTCAGTCTGGCTTAGTATTAACCATTCGACTTTCAAGTAGACTTCAGTTTGCTTATCTACAGTATCAGGAGTTTGGACAAGACCAGTTATTCTCAAAAATAAGTATGATTCAGACAGTAGAATATCTGGAGACAGGCAGGGAAGATAATATAATTATGCCAGGGGTAGGGAAAAGGAGACAAATTCAAACTGCATACATGGTTCCCTCCCCAGAAACAGTTTTTCATATACCCACAAGAATGTATGTCAGCACACCCACCCCAACACAGACACGCATATATCACCTTGCCACTGGGATTCACTAATTTAGTGTGAACCACTCTTAGCAAAATATGTCATTCCAACTCCCACATGTTGAAAGCAGGGAAAAAATGTTTCAGTGACAGTGGATGAGACACTCACTAAAGTTTATTTCAACATTGAAGTACTGCTTTTACTTTGGAGTATGTATCAAAAGCCTGAAGCTACAGTGAAGATTTATCAACAACTCTCAATTAGTATACTTCTAGAATTATCACTACAACTTTCTTCCACTCTATATCACTGTTAATTTTTATACTTTTAATTCACTAATCTCTAACAACTCATTTCCACTCTTTTTAGCTTGTTACTTCTGACCTGCAGGGTTCAAGGAAACCAGAGCATCAAACTTGTTAGAACTATATAAAAAATATAAAACAGGATCTGAGACCCTCAGTGAAAGGACGGCCAAAGGGCGTTTTTACTTCTTTCTTAGTCATCTATTTTCAAATAGTTGAAGTTGTTATGAAATGATATATGAATAAGGTGGCAATATATTTTGGCTTATTAAACAACTTATTTTTTGAATGTTTTGAAAGGTTTCCAAAAAATGGAAAAACATTAAAAAACTGTCACTGTGTTAACTAATTTGACAAGCGCTTAAGAGTGAATAGGACACTATGATGAAGGATGATCTAATCCAAGAAAGCAAGTTGGGTTAACATTAAACAAACCACCAGTGTAATTTCACCATAATAACAAAATAAATGCAAAAAGAACTTTTAAGTTACTAAATAATAGTTACTAAAAACACATTTGACACAGTTTTGAGCAAATATGGAACAAAAGGTAACTTCCTCCATCTGGTAAAAACCATCTAAGAAAATCTTGTAGCTCACATCATTCTAAAGTGGAAAATTGAATGTTTTCCACTTAGGACTGAGAACAAGACAAAGATGTCCGCTTTCACCTTTTCTAGTCACAGAAGTGGAATCAAGGGAAAAAAAGAAAAAAGCATTCTCAAAAATGTACAGTCTGTTACTTTAAGAGAAACTAACTACTTGTTTCTATTGTAACAAATAATAAAACTCAATTTTCAAGTAAATTTGAGAATTTTTAAAAAATGTCTATCTACCAGGTGACCTTGGTAACTGTAACTATGAATGACTTAAACATCCATCAAACCTAAACTAATTAGCCAAATTATGTCATACCCATTCTTTGAAGTATAACACAGGCTTTAACTACTTTTGGAGATAAATTTTCAAATACAAATTATTAATGTTAACTTCTCATAATTCTGAACATTAACTTTAAATTATTTAACTTTGCTATTTATAAAACCAGAGACTATTTTTAAAATAATACACTCTTTAAAAATATTTTATTTTTTACATCATTGTTTTTTTTTGGGGGGGTAAAGATTTATTTATTTATGCATACAAGAGCTGGGGTACAGGTCAGAGATGCGTGGGGTGAGAGAACTCACCAGAGACAGAGTGGGGGACAGAACAAGCAGACTAGCTGAAATACACTGCTGAGGGGAGCAGCAGGCGAGACAGGAGAGGTCTGCTGTGCCATGTGGGTTGCTCCCTGGCCAGGTGGGGACCCAACTTGTATTGCAGAGGCTGTGGGTTGCTTCATAGTGCTGTGCTTAACCCCTTGTGCCACCAGGGAGGCCCTCATTGTTCATTATTAAACAATATTTGCTTCCCCCCCGCCCATCCCCGGGGTCAGGTGTAGTCCCCATAGAATTTCCTTCCCCAAGGCACCCGTGCAACCATCACCACTGTCCCCTGTGCTCCTCCTCTCCCTTGCAGGATGTCTCTGATTTATCATTGTCTGTTTTTGCATTGTTGAGTTTTGTACTGTTATTATTTTTCACACTGATGTCTTATTTTGTTCCCCTACATTCCTGCTATAAGTGAAACCATTGATATAAAATAATACACTTTTAATAAGTCATTAAACATGGGCCTCCCCTGGTGGCGCAGTGGTTGAGCGCTGGGCTGCGAAGCTGCCCGCAGCCTCCGCAGCACCAGTTCAATCCCCGGCCGCCGGCGAGGGTCCTACATGGTACGCAGACCTCTCCTGTCTCGCCCACTGCTCCCCTCAGCAGTGTATTTCAGTCAGTCTGCCTGCTCTGTTCCCCGCTCTGGCTCTGGTGAATTCTCTTACCCTCCCGCACTTCTGACTGTACCCAGTGCTTGTATAAATAAATAAATCTAAAAAAAAGGTCATTAAACATACATGTGAAGAAAAAAGATACTGGGAGAAAAAAAACAGAAAGAACAGAAAATAATGGAAGCAATGGTGATTTCTACTTCCACTTTCACATATTTTCCCAATTATTATGAAGAACACATGCTATTTTCACAATCAGAAATAAAATAGATTATTTTATAAAATTCTTCTGGAACCATAAAGAAAAACTTAAATTGAAAAAAGATTAAGGCCACATTTATTTAATTCACCTATTAACTGTACTTGAGCCAGTATTTCTCAAACACTCTGCCTAATATTTAAAGTTATATAACCTTACCTCTACTCGTAACTATTAACTTCCATGATAGGAATAAAGCAAAGTATACTATCAGATTCTGTCTACACTTTTTATACAAGTTTGGCTTCCTCTCCGTTCTGAACATATCTTCCAAACATTCTCAACTTATCTCCCTAAGGAAAGGAAGGTCCACTTTAAAGCCCAGATTTATTATGATTCACTTAGCTTGAACTCTGCTAAGGCAGCATTCAAAATTTTCTACCCTACTTCTGCAATCCAAGTTGACAACTTCCAGGTCTCTTCTTCTCAAACTATCCCCATTAAGCATGATCAAAATTTGTAATTATTCACACAAAAATTCTCAGTTAAGGAAAGATATGTGTAAGTAAATCTGCTCTGCTACATTTCATATAAGCAAGCCGACTCGCTGTTGGGAGAATCACTGTGTACCTAATATGCAGAGTCAATCAAACTCTGTACAGGGTATCTTTAGGTTTCTAAAATAACACCATGAAAAAATCAGTAAAGGAACAAAGGGAACAGCTTTAATTTTCCTTTTATTTCCTTACTTTAACAGCTGCAGTGTATCTCAAAATTATGTAGCTCTACTTATACAAAATGGCAAAATTCCATAAACAGCATCATATTTCAATGAGTAAATTAAACATTTAGTCAAATTATTTGAATGAAAATACCTCAGTTTTATCATTCATCATAATTTTACCCTAAAGTATGACTCATCA